AAAAAAGCCTCCCCTCGAAAAAGCCCCCCCTCTTAATAAGCCCCCATCCTAGAACTAAAAATTGTCAATAAGCCAACCTCTCAAATAAACCCCATTGCTACCGTAAATTCTCTAAATTCTCCATTTGATGATTTTTGCCATCTGAGATTGCCTATGGCGTTTTATTGAATTCCCACAACAAATTCATACTTTTGGTAGTAATTAATCAAATGCTCATAAAGAAATTCCTACTTAAATAAACGAGGTCTTTTAATAATGTCTTCTTAATGTCTGCAACAATTTTATAAGGCCCCTCCTCGTATAAGCCCCCGCCCCCCTCGAATAAGCTCCCATCCAAAAATATCAGAAAAATGCGGTATCGAGGATTTACGGTATCGCATAGACTCTTTTCTATGTACTCATTCATCTTCGTAAAAGGCTTTTTATTCTTTAAAAAGCCCGGACTCCTCTCATTATTCAAAAAACTATAAGCTGTAAAAAAATTTACCTTCTTGGAGAGTTTCAACAAAGACCCAGGCAAGAACCACCACGTGACCTAATTGTTACCGAAATGAGGCTTTTCTCGGGTATGACAGCAGAGGGTGCCATTGTTTTGCAACAATTCATGACAAATTGTGTGTCAATCAAAAAGCAAGGGATAAATTAAGGGAATTGCTAAGTTTTGCAACCAGTGGTAGAAACGCTCATGCATCCGTTGCCCCCTGAATTTTTGAATGTTGAAATATTTTTCGTTTAACAAAGTGTATTTTTCGTTTAGTTAGTGGTTGTTTTTAAAATCATAATTATAAATTTTTTTATTAAAAAGGTATTTAGGCCGCTAACCTAATTACAACATTAACATGACAATAAAATTTAATAGAATTACTGCTACAACATCTTGTCCTACGTTAATATCAACTCAATTTTGAATAATTCAAATGTTTGTTATGAATGTACGAAGAAATTAAAAATACCTGATATTGAAATGTTTTTTTACAGTAAAAAATGTATATAATCAACTGATAATATAATAGACAAATAATTTTAGATAAAAGATTATAGTTAAAAATTTTTTGAGAATTTTATCACTGCACAAATTCAAATTGATGGCTGCACATTTTCCATTTTTCACTGCAAAAATTGGTCATCACTGCACCTTAGAATATTCCCTGCTTGTCTCCCTCCAGTAAAACAGAACTATTAAGGTTGCTACTGAATCTTTCAAATTACTTGTTTAATTTTCCAGGTTATTCAGGACACCTTATCCATATTTGAAAGTGAAGAAAAATTTAAGAAGGACTTGGCCAGTTTACTCTCAATCAAACTCACAGAGGTTAGTTTTTTATTTTTGCTCTTTTAAAAAAAATCGAATTAATACTTTGGTTTTAGATTTGCATTTCAAAATCACTTCCTTCGTGTGTGGTCCTTCGATAGAAACTTCATGCATCAGTGATAAGACACAATAGAAGAATTTTTTGTATTCAGATAGTTTTATGTTCACCACATTTTCTTGATAGAAACTTCCCTTGAACCCCTTAAACGGAAACCACCCTTGAATTGAAGCTATTGGGATCTTAGAAAAAGGCACCTTTGGGCAAAAGCCGAAAAATAAAATAAGACTTGGGAAAATGTTGCGCTATTCTAAAAGCTCTAAAGTGGGCATGTTTAAGGAAAGGGCCATTCTCATAAAAACGTAGACTATCACCACTGTGAAACAAGACCTTGTGAAAACCGTCCCCGGTGAGAATATCCCCAATATGCTACTGATAAAACATTATACGAAAAATGCAATTGATGACGTCATTTCGTGCGCGATATGGAAAAAAATGCGTGAAGACAGGGTACCACTGGGAGGGTGGGGGGAGGGGGTGGGTTTGTTTATCGTCAGAGAGATTATTGGGGCTCGTTACAATTCGTTACAATTGAGCAGATGTTTTGTTGGACAAATTCTGCATTAGAGACCTTTATTTTCCAAATAAAAATATCCACGGGCAAATTTTCTGTAAACCTTTTTGGGCCAGTGAAATAAATGATTTCACATACACAACAGAGTATCTTTAACAATAATGAATGTATATTGGGTGTGGTCGCAGGTGTGGCATGTAGAAGTTGTCTCAAGCATAACCCCTCTCCTACCTTTTAAAGACGGCATTCCCCCTGCTTGAAGGTTGGAATGCCTAGAATTTAAGAGGGTTCCAACCATTGCTGGTTTGTGGTAGGCATGGCTGACTTTAAGGGGTACTTTCTTATTGGGAATGCGCTAGGTATTGTCATCGGAAAATATTTTTACTGCGGTATGGGATTTCAGGTGACTGTCTCAAAACCTGTGTCATGTTCAGAAAACTTTTTGCATATGCAAAACGAAATTAGCAAAATAAAACTTGATTGTATGGTTATAAATTTGCGCTTGTGGAGCACTTGTAGGCAAGAAAAGGGGGTCTCTGTGAGCACTGGGTTTGGTAAGAAAGGGGTGGGGGCATGAACCCCTGAGCACGTTTGCCTCAAAGTGTATCGGTTGATGCAAGCTACAGCTGTTTCTCCTTTTTAGGCCAATATACTTGATACCGTTGCTGATCATGCACCTCGGGGATTTTCTGTAAACTGGGCAGTTAACATCGTTTCTGTTGATAAGACCATCACATTTCTAGCCAAGGTATGCTGTTGTTGTTAAACGTAGTATAGTTTTTTTATACAAAGTTCAGTTGGCAATTCTATCAAACAGAGCGGTACCGTGAAGTGGCGTAGATAAAGGAGAAGATCAGAGGGGCGAAAAGCACTCATTTAAAGCTAAAATGCTATTTTGTCGAAAAACTTCCGAGCTTGTCGGAAATTTAACATTTTTTTTCTTTTTTTTCAAAGCTTTACATTTTGAGAGGAAATATTTTAACACTGAATGAACATAAGAATATCAGAGTATATCAAGATATTGTTTTATTTCAGTTCTTATCTCGTTATGTTATGTTCAATTCTATGAAAAGATATGAATATGTTTATTTGGTTCCTGTATGAAAATCTATGTTGCTCGCTCCTCCTATGAATTTTCCTACCTACACCACTTTCACTATTCTGTTTGATATGAGTTTAGAATTTTCTGCCTTTCGTAGAGTGATACAATCAAAATATTCCCTGAAGCAAACTACTTCTTATGCAGTGAGATTTCCTTGAAAAATGAAAATTGGTAAAAAATTGATCTGTTTCGCTACATAGGACATAGACTGACTGAAAGAAAGAGTGTTCCAGGGTAAAGCTGTCTCTCTGCTACAATGATGATCTTTTTCAAACAATGGTGTGTTTATGGGAAAACTTGTTTAGATTTAGCCCCCTTTTCGTGGCAGTATACGCCCTTTCGAAATTATCTTTCCTCTCGATCTTAATTCGGTCTCGAATTAGCTAATAGGCTAGGCTCCCCTCTTTGTTAAGCCCTCCCTTATTTCAGCCCCCCCTCTTAGTTAGACCCCCATTTAAGCATAGAGTTTTGCATACCATTAGGGATTTTTCAAAGCATAACTACGTAGGTTTCTACCCTGGGTAACAGAGCCACATAAATTTGAGAGCGAAGATAGAAGATAGGAGTGGAGAAACGGAGAAGGGTCTGTCTGAGAATAAGGTCCTTCTCTGCCTGGCCTTCTGTTTACCCCATTGAAAGTTTTGTGGCTCTGGTGCCAATAATAGTAGATTCCCAATTAACGAACTGAATTTAGCACTATCTTTATAGAACGCCGAAGAACACGCTCATTGGCTTGACGGCCTACAGTACGTCAAACGTTTTTGGACAGATCGAGCCAGCGTCGTAGGATCGAATAACCAGGTATGTCAATTAAACTTTACTGGCTCGTGTTTTTAACCTTGATTCTCGAAGAGAAATAACAGAGAGAGAACCTAGAGAAAGAAACATTTGCCTATTGATCGTGACTAGCTGGATGTTGCAACCCACCGTCCTGTTATATTCACCAAAGCAAAAAGCAAAAGATTAACCAAAAGAATTCAGACAGCTCAAAATAAATGTATCAGGTTTTGTTTGAATCCAAATAACAGAGCACATATAGAAATCAAGGAATTCACAAATATAAATTGGCTCCCCACGAAAGAGAGATTTGAACAATGTATGACTGCAAAGGTTTTCAAATTTTTTGATAATTCAGCCCCACACTACATGTCAGAGATGTTCTCACCAGTTGGCCAGAACAGAATCACCCGAAGATCTAAAAACAAACTGAATCAACCTTTCCGAAAGAAAAGATAGGGCAAAATTGCCTCTCATATCTTGGTCCCAAAATTTGGAACAATCTACCGTCAAAACTAAAATCTGCAAAGAACGTAAATAGTTTCACACACAAGATCAAAGATATATTCTTTGATGATCTACAAAGTCAGGAGGATAGCCCCTACATATTTTATTGAAACCCCAAATTCAGCCAACGAAAAGGTGCTAGTTAGCATTTTTCCATAATTACTTTTTTCCTAGTTTTGGATACAAATCAATTTTTCATGCACACATTTCTTCTTTATAACACCTCTGGAGGAACCATTATGGAAACAAGATCGTACTGACCTTTTTAATGCTATCCCTGCCATTTTTAACCTGGGGTGTTTTTAGTCTATGTTTTTAACTTCTATCTGTAAATTTTATATATCTGTTATTAGATCTTTTTCTTTTTCTTAATTTTAAATTGTAATTTATTTGATGGCAAAATTATACATACATACAAAAACAAGAATTATTGCCGTTTTGAGCTCGAATTCAATTCAATTTGCACAGAACGAACTTAATCAACCAATTCAATTTAGGACCATGTCTTAGATGTTACCACCGTCTTATTAATCCGGAAAAATAGTCCATGTTGTTTGTACTTGTACTGTAGATTTTATATAGAATCTTCCCAATTAAACTGCTAAGAAGCGATGTCAAATCAGTCTTTTTTGACAATGGTACAGTTAACCCCCCCCCCTCCCCCATTTGGTCATAGGCTTAGCGGATGCTATGCGTTTAGAGGGTCTTAGTATAGATCCCCCGGGTATTATTGTCTCACTGACATTCAACTGCCCAAATTGAGCGTGAAAAGCGATTAATTTTGCCAGATTCAGGGGGTTACAGCCCTCTTGGCCCAGATGTCGTTATACACCTATGTAAGAGGGTAAATTTTATTCCTCGCCTATATTGGTTCTTACACTCCGGAATAGACAAGGGGTTTTTAATAAATGTGCATAAGTGGGGAATCTTTCAAATAATGATAAACAAGGTCAATGGGTAGCATTCCCTCCCTATTTTCCCGAAAAAAATATATTAAAAAGACGCTGGTCTCTTCATACAGAAGGATAGAGGGCATGACACAATTGTTAAATGAAAATGTTTAACTCTTGATGTTGTTTACAGTCTTTCTTTTGTCCTCCGAGCACTTCCTTGCAGCACGTTCTATGTACTGTTTTGTAATATGTGAAGCTGCAAAAAATTAACGGGGGAGGGGGGAGGGGGGATGTTTCGAATATTGATGTCACGATGTCATGGGTGGATCTTTTTTGTTAGATTGTCTAGTGGTGGATACGTTCATTCAAAACTCTAGAGTCAATTAAAAGGTTTTTATTGACAAGGATGTACTGTATCCTTGCTTTAGTACGGTTTATTTATTTATTTAGACAAAGTAGCACGTTACCCTGTCCGTATATCAGGCCTTATAAGGCACTGGCAGGTTAGAAACGATTCTTTACTTTTTTAGGCAGCCATGGGTGAGAACCGGAATCTTATTAAGTGAGTGAATATATTTTATTTTTATACGACATGTCTTGTTGATATCCCCTTTCCTTTCATTTTTAAAACCAAGATTTTCAAAACGCTTAACTGTTTGCACTGCTTATTGGTCTAGTTGCGACTTACGGTCGGTTACCGAATTCAACACAGTTGGTTACCGACTGCCATGGCAGCGCCAGCGTAATAGGACTGGAACCTAATTACTAATTTATGTCAATTATGCTTATGATATTCTTCCTATCGCTGTTGACTCAAACCCTATTACACCAGGGGGGAGGGGGGGACATCAACAACAACAACAACATTAGAGAGCTGATACTGCTCAATCAATTCTTCGGTTTTTCTTATTGAATTCTAACAAAATTTGCGCCAAGAATATGAAATCAAAGGTATCGTGAATTCTCTCCAATCCACGTTGAGACTCCACTAGAACCCCAAGGTCCGTGTATTAAATTATTGAGTTGTTGAAGAAAACAAACAAGTCATACATAAAGTTATAATATTGCCCATTCTACATTATTTAAGTCCGTTGTCTTCTCATATATGTCTTTCTTTTCCTTATGCGCCCTCGTACCATCCAATATTTTCTATAGAGGTTCTAGAGCCATATTGAAATGTGTTTAAACTGTATTTTTTCCGTGTGTCATCTTTTTGGAACATACTAAAAGCTTTGTCAGGCACTCCTCAGAGCATAGAACATCAAACAAGCATGAAGCGTAAAAATTATAAAAGTTTTGGAATCGATCTACATTCAAACAGTAAAGCCGCAATTGTGGAGACAGAAGGAGTTCGTTCTCTCTCTTGAGCTCCAGTGATTTTCCTATAGACACGCAGTACTGATTGGGCAACTATATTGCTTATGTGCTTGCATTTTTCTGATTGGCCTATTTTAGTCCACATCTGAGTATATATTTTCAATTTTGCCATCACAGAACCTTTTTCTGACGTTCTATGCTCTGAGGAGTGTTAGCCAAACAAATTGTCTTGTAAAGTGCTTGCTTTTTTCAAAGCATTTTTCAAATTTTGTACCGTCAAAAACTGTATCACTTTCCAATTAGGAGTGAATTTTGCGCACTTATAACAGACATTCACGGGGACACAAGGGAGATAAGGCTTGCCAAAGCTGCTACATATAAAGATGTTTATCGTGCAATGCATCCTAAGGGTGGCATTCTGGGGGAAAGGGCCGCATACCTTTGGGCTGTCAATAAAGATGGTACTGGTACGTATAGATTATGACGTCAAGTAAATTTTTTTTTTGATTTTTTACTTTATGTGACATGTCTTGAAATGGCTTCATTGTGAACTTGATATGTGGCTTATATGGTATTTAAGTGCATGCCCCCCTGTAGGTTAGTTTTTCTCTAGCAGATTGGTTAGTTTTTCTCTACCATGCCTAAAAATTTTGAATAAAAAGTAAAAATGAAAAATAAAATGAAAAATGTAAAAATGAATAATGAAAAATGAAAATGAAAGATGAAAAACAAAAAACAAAAAACAAAATTAAATAAAATGAGAAACAAAAAACAAAATTAAAGATAATGAAAAATGAAAATGAAAAATTAAATAAAATGAAAAGTAAAAATGAAAAATTAAAATGAAGAATAAAGTGAAAAATGTAGAAATGAAAATACAATATAAATTTCCCCTAGAGGTAAATACGGAAAATAAGAAAATAAATTATAAATCATGAAAAATGTAAATGAAAAAGGAAATATACTTCATATGCCAAATTATTTCGACATGTTGCAGATTGATTGAGGTAAAGCAGGTGAAAGAACTTTGTTCAATCAACGGGTTACTTTTGTTTTAATGTGGCTCAGATTATTATAGAACCATAATAAATTTACCGTTCTGCAGTGACGGACACTTGATTAAATATTGAGGGGGGTAAGGCAAACCTATTGTTTTGATAAGATAACGTCGCATTTTTCCATTGTTTTAGAACAAAGGACCATTGTCTTCCGAAATATTGGTGGGGGCGACTGTTTCCCTTCACCCTCCCTGTTGTCCGCCACTGATTTGATGGAAAAAAGCATGGCCTTACTGTTTTGATAAGATGACGTCCATTGGTCTTTTTGTCTAAACTGCAATCATGACTGTATTACTGCAATCACGATAGATATGCCTAACTCAACCCTCACCAATTTTCAATTCATTTTAAGAAAAATGTTAAGGAACATGTGTAAGTGTGGATTTTATAATTTTTCAAATTTTCTACAATCAAAATAAAGTAGCATCAATTCTAATCGTTTCTGTTTTTCGAGTATCGTTCTTTATTTTTAAAATGGCAGCCACGAACCATCGTTTCTTCGTCTCCGCAACCTTGCAATAATCGTAACGAAAACTCCGTTCCCCCGAGGCTAAATATTTAACGGCCTACGATGTTATGTTTCTGTCGACCTCGTTTCTAGAACTGACCTATAAAAAAGACTGGATCGAGCTTCTATTGTGAGAAAAGCGTCGCCATCCGAAGAGTGTCCAAGTACAGACCACTCGAGGAGAGGGCCTAAACAATCACTCCTAACAACGTGTTCATCTTTTTGGCCTACTTTTTGTCGCCACTAATACACACAGCATTATTTCTCTAGCCTATCCATATCATCCAAGCGTTGATTTTTAAAAATAACTTCCCGCTTCTGTTTGAGGCCCTCTTTCTTTTGAAATCGAGCGTGCTTCAAAGTTTAGTGTTTCAAGACAATAAAAACTCGATCCAGTCTTTTTATAGATCAATGGTCTCCACTAGGTCATATCAAAGACAGTGTATGGCGATGTTAATTGGTTTACGGGAACAAAGAATTAAATTTCTATTTCGATGAGTTTTCATTTCTTAACAAAGGACGTCGCTTACTTGCTGTTAACCAGTTATATTAATTTGTCATGTTTTTCGAGAACCTTCTAAATTCAACGATTTTAAAATTTCAACATTGTCCATAGATTCGATGGTTAGAAAACTGGCGCCAATTCATGTATTTGTTGAAGATGGCTGCCAGTTGTTCATGATTGAGAAGTTTTACAAGGTAAATTTTCATTTTAAAACAAAATATTTTGTTTCCTTGCAGTTTTTATCTGCAGATGTTGGGACGATATTAATTGTTAATCTTCAGCATGATTATGCGAGAATGGCTCAGTTGTTAGAGGCGCCCATTACAGACCCAAAGGTCCGTGGTTTTAGGCCCTGGCATGACCAAACTTTCACCCAGAGTGAGGAGAGTCGCCAGCTCTCTGTAATTCCCAGCAAAGGAATCACGAGGTGTGGTCACATCGAGAGGAAGGACCAGGATACTGCTCGATAAGCATAGCTTCTCAGTATCCTAAAAACTACCTTCGAATGCTAGGTAGCAACAAATACAAGTACAAATACAAATACAAATAATTTTCACGTCTAGGGGTCAGGCATTTATGATTTTGTGTAAAAGGATATGATATACCCTAAGGTACCCAAATATGCCGAGTCATGATTTTCGTGCTGCGATGCTATTGGTTGACCTGAAACTGGTCACATGAACTCATCTCATACTGACTAAGTGAACAGTTTCCATCAATAGCATGTTGTCAACGATGGATGCTGATATCACATGAAACAGCAGCGATCACGCCGAAACCAAATTTCCCCCCCCCCCTATAGAAAAGGCCTATTAACCATGATTCAATGACTTTAAAGATGCATTGGTTGGTTTAACATTCTTCTAGTTTTATGTAGACTCATAGGAAAATGATCGAAACCAAAACAGCGAAGCCTGCCCAAGCACATCACTACGATCGTCGTCTGTATCCTGACACGTTTCGTTGTTTCTAGAAACGGTGTTTAGCTACTTAGAACATAGACTGACTGAAAGAAAGAGTGTTTCAGGGTAAAGCTGTCTCTCTGCTACAATCATAATCTTTTTCAAACAATAGTGGGTTTATGGGAAAACTGTTTCGCTACATAAAACATAGACTGACTGAAAGAAAGAGTGTTTCAGGGTAGAGCTGTTTCTTTGCTACAATGATGGACTCTTTCAAACAATGGCAGGTTTATGGGAAAACTGTTTCGCTACTTAGAACATAGACTGACTGAAGGAAAGAGTGTTTCAGGGTAAGGCTCACATGACAATCACATGGCACATATCAAGTGTTAATCGCTTTGACATTCGTAACAGCCTTAATGCTGAATTATGTAAGTTTTTGTGTAAGTACTTCGATGTTATGTATATATTTCTCTTCTATGGCTACTCAACAAATGAAATACTAGCGCCCGGTAACATTACTCTTCCTATTTTTAAGATTACCGTATTCTCTACCCAAAGGTCCTCGTGATTTTCCTTGACGACGGTGATTTCATCGCAACCCCAGCCCTACCCAGCATAACAGTATCTGAGGTATGTTGCTGTTGCTCTAGACCTTGTTTTTGTTGCTGTTGTTGTTTATCTTGCTTTTTGTTGTTGTTGTGTTCTTATCGTTGCTGTTGTTGCGTGTTTTGTCCTAAACGAACTCTTTGGTATCTTTTCAAAAAGACATCCATCTTCTTTATCTAGCATACCGTACTTCAAATATTGACACTATGTGTAGTGAGTCGCTGACAAAAAACTTGGTATCAGACTTTGAACAAGAGACCCTCAATGTGAAACATCGTACACAAGCGTTATTATGCTTGCCTTTATCCCGTCGGTCGACCGTTGAGAGTTAATAATAGGGCGTTTTAAATAGAACGATTAGCCGATTCAATACGTAATAATAGGTCTATTGTGTACTTCAACCGATGGGTAATTTAAATGCCCAGCGAAATGCATCAGGACATAGTGCCTTTAATTTATTTGTTCCAATGCTTGTTGAAACTGTTTTTGTTGAAATTTTATATTTTTCCCGGCATTTATTTCTTTGTATATTTAATAGCAATGTTTTTAGATGTATATTGAATATTTCTCCGTAACATTTCTGCATAAATCTGCAAAAGCTCATCATAACTTTGTAGTTGAGTGCGACTGCAATTTCTGTCTGAGGATTTTGACCTCTGCTGTTCCAAGCAACCAAAATTTGTGGCTTTGTGATACCAACTAATAAATTTGTCTAAATTTTATCTATTTTACAATTGTTCGTATCATACTTTTAGGTTGCAAAATTACCAAGAGTTGTGGAAAAACTACAGAATTTGGAAAAAGGAAAGTTTGTTTTAGTGAAGAAATTCTTAGATTCAGGATTGGGTAATCTTCATTTAATATTTTTATTGTTACCATTAATTATCATTTATTCCTTTTTGCTACCAATGGCCTATTTTAGTGAACACGTTAAATGGAAACTTGCTGGAAATAATTGGTCATGTGGTTTTTCCCTTTGATATTTGTAAGTTTACATCAGTACAGAACACGACGCGCTTTTTAAAAACAGCAGCTGCTCTCGTAGAGCAAGGGTTAAAGTTCAGCCCTATCTAAATAAGGAGAGTACTGATTAGTCAAATCAAACCCAACTGAACCTGCCTTCCTTTAGTTATATTATTAAAGCACATCTGAATATTTTAAGAAAACATTCCGTATAAAAAATCCATGCATAAAAAAGTTCCTGCTTGGAAAAACTTATAAGGTCAGAGGTCAGAGGTCACCATAAAAAGGTCAGAGGTCAATCACCTATATTTATCGTGTCTTATTTCCATTTACTTAATAACGAAATGCATTTTACCGCTCGCGTTTAACCTGTCAATTGAAAACAAGATTGAAGATGTGGTCACGTTATAATGCGTTCAACAATAACCTTGAGAGGGCAAGAAGATCGTTTATGCCGTTGGTGTTACATCCCGGGAATGAAGCTGCCATACGAATCGTAGCCCAAGAGCCACACCCTGCAGATAGCATGCATGTTATTGTATTACTCGTGAAGCTTCGAGAGCAAGTTCCGCTCTTTGAACATCAGATAAATTTCTCAACTTACTTTTTAAGCCTTCGATAGAAAGTTGCTAATAACACTAGGGACAGACAGTCAAGCATTTTAACCCTTGCATTTGATCTCCAATCCTTTATGGGACCAAAACATTGTGCATAAAACAGGCACTGGGAACTGTGAAAATACCTATTAGCATTTAATAACAGCTCAGATAAATGAACGAGCATTCTTCATGACAAGAATGCTTATTAAATTACATTTAATTATCAGGAATTTTCTCTTTTAGAAATAAAACTATCTGACGCTGACAAACCACTGGAGATATTTTACGGTGAGTTGAAAACATTCTTTCGAAAGGATAGTGGACCGAGGTTCCATTGTAATTAAAATGGCGGTATCCTTAGGAGGAACCCTAGCTTGGCCTAATTTCCCAATCCTTTGACAGCAAGCTATGGATTTCAAAATGCGAGAACTTATTGAACAGTTCTACGTGCTTCTGTTGATTTTCAAACAGGTCTTTGCTATAACTTTTATGGATATTGTAATGTATTATTTTGTCCCTGTTAAAGTGCCTATGAAATGAAATTTCACATATAGTTTTTTTGTAAGAAACTGAAACTTCTACATGTTGTTACAGTATAAAGCGAGAAGTAACTTGAAAATTTGCACGGGAAAAATTGTTTTTGGGGTTTTAAAAACAATGAGTGAGAGTGACAAAGCATAAGAATCAGTGGCCTCACAAGGTTTGCAGTTGATTCCGTCTTCGCAGTAAACACACCATACCACTTAGTCAGGGCTGTTAGTCAAACACTTGTGCAAATCGTGATACCAGCATGAAATTTTGCAAGAAGGTGTAGTTTGATACGCTGAAAAAGATAGGATATGGACGCCAACTGAAAATTGCCCCCTTTAGCAATTTTTAGAAAGGGGTTCTTTGCCCCAAGCCCCTAACGGCATTATTACAATATCTCTCCTGAAAGTAGGTATAGTAGAACGAAACTTTGCATCATGGGGCAGTTTGATGCGGTACAAAAGATAGGATATAGAACATAACTGAAAATTGCCCCCTTTAGCTATTTTTAGACACGGGGCTCTTTGCCCCAAGCCCCTAACGGCAGTATTTCAACATCTCTCCTGAAAGTAGGTATAGTAGAACGAAACTTTGCATCATGGGGCAGTTTGATGCGGTACAAAAGATAGGATATAGAACATAACTGAAAATTGCCCCCTTTAGCTATTTTCAGACATGGGGCTCTTTGCCCCAAGCCCCTAACGGCAGTATTACAACATCTCTCCTGAAAGTAGGTATAGTAGAAGGAAAATTTACAACATGAGACAGTTTGATACAGAACAAAAGATAGGATATAGAACATAACTGAAAATTCCCCCCTTTCTTTCTTTAGACTGGGGTTCTTTGCTCCAGACTTATAAAGACGGTTGATTGCATCTCAGTCGTACTTTAGTACTATAGCGCTAAACTTATCAAAATATGCCAGTTTGATACGTTGAAAAAGAGAAGATATAGACCCCCACAGAAAATTGCCCCCTTGGGCTGTTTTTAAACTAGGGTATTTTACCGCATTACTCCACTAACGACTTTATTTTGATATCTCTGCCGAAAGTAGGTACAATAGCAAGAAACATTGCAATACACGGCATTCTGATACGCGGGAAATGATAGGATAAAGACTGCATCTGAAAATTACCCCCTTGTTCTATTTTTAGACTAGGGTACACCGCCCAAGATCTTAATAGTCGGTATTATCGTATTTCAGTCGTACTTTGGTACAACAGTATGAAACTTTGCAGAAAAGGACAGTTTGTTTTAGTGGGCCCCTGCTAAGGAAGCAGGTTACGACAAAGGGTCCCTATAGACATTCAGGCTCATAAATACCAGGGTGCCAGACAGTGGCGGACACTTGGTAAAATATTGGGGGGGCAAGCCTATTGTTTTAATAAGATGACGTCACATTTCCCATTGTTTAGAACAAAAGACCATTGTTCTCTAAAGTATTGGGGGGCCGGTCGCCCCCCCCTCTCCCCCCCCCAAGTGTCCGCCACTGGTGCCAGATTCTCCATAACTTTGTATTATAAATATAGCTCGAAGCTAGTCAGAGAACAGATTATTTGAACGAGGATCTCGTTTTTTGCCATCACAGCAGTCTTAGCTACTTTATCTGTGGCACCCAGGATACATGATAGACTACCATTACAAATGGATGTGTCTCTAAACGTAATATAAGCCAACACATCTTCTTTAGATTGTATAATAATATAAACAATTTATTTAAAGTTGGCAGGGACAATAGCGTTCAGCTAATTAAGGTCATTTATACAAAATGTAAAGAAAAGTGAACAATTTTTTTGCGGTACAGAATTTGAAAATGGCTTTGAAAAAAGCAAACATTTTACGACATACTAAAAGCTTTTTCGTCTGACACTCCTCAGAGCATAAAACGTCAGAATAGGTTCCGAAAAAACACGATGGAAAATATATACCCAGTTGTGGATCGAAATAGGCCAACAGAAAAACGCAAGCACAAGACCGGTATAGTTGACCAATCAGTGCCGCGAGCCTAAAGAAAAATTACCAATGGAGTCCAAGAGAGAAAACGAACTCCTTTTGTCTACACAATGGCGGCTTTTTCGTTTTTATGTAGATTGACTCCAAAACTGTAAAGAAAAGTCTTGTAAATAAAGTTTTTACACACTTTGCAGCTGTAGTCTTAAGATCGTAGCAAATTCTTAGGCAAGGTTGCCTCTGAAGAGTTCTTAAAAAGGAGGGAATTTAAAAAAAACCCATCAACACTGGATAAAATCAGTTTTCTGAAAATTTTGACAAGTGAGAAATTGATGAACCGAACCATAGTCTAAAGAGGCCCGCAGAAAATTTTAGAGAAATTTATAGAATTTGACTGTTCATAATTACTGTATTCATTTAATAGCAGCTTCGTTGCAAGTTTTTTTTGTTGGGAATTGCTTCTATATTTGAACTATTTGACCCTTAGAATGTTATCAAATTTATTTTTCAGAGCTGGAAAACGGTATTTGGCGCAGGAAGGTAGATGTCAAAGGTAAGATCGTAATCACACATTTATTAAAATTGCAAGAAGTTAGCAATCACATTATCAGAAATTATTAAATCAGAAATCATGATCCACATGATCAAAAATCTGATCAATTATAATTTAATTTTATAATTTAATAAAATTCAAGTTTTTCAAGTTTTTTTCTAAACATGTGTGAACCGGCGGGCTTTCGGTATATAAACAGCGCCAAATGTTGAATCATCGATGAGAAAAAAAATTATAATTTAATCAATTATCATGAAAGCAGAAGCTATGCAATCATGAATCATGGAATCAGTAATCATGAAATCATAAGTGGTGAATCATGCAATCATTCAATTAAGAATTACAGCACTTGTGTGATTTGCAATTTTGCAATCCGGAAAATATTGGCAAATATTCTTTGGCTCAAATTATCTTGAAATATTTATATTTAAGGAAAACATTTAGTTAACATCAACTCAGCAATTTTACCTTTATTTATTGCAGTTTTAGTAATTGCTTTTGTTTTTTGTAGCAAAGCTGATTGGTAGGGTTAAATTTGATGACGACAGTGATGACGAGGAGGTTTGTGATGGTGCCAAAGATAAGGTGAGATTTGGTTTCTACAATGAATCGAATGGAGTCTCATAACGCAAAACCGGGGTTGTCATCTGGAAATTTTAAGAAGGGGATCGCGGCTCCCGGGTCTGGGGGTCGCGGGTCGGAGGGTCGCGGGTCGGGGGGTCGCAGGTCGGGGGGTCGCAGGCCGGGGGTCGCGGGTCAGGGGCAAGACTTTTGGCAAATTTTAGAAGCCACACCCATGATCACACCCACTACCACAGAAAAAGATTTCTGTGCCACAACCATTGCAAACATTCTCTGTTTTGTATATGAAATCATCCATTCACCGACTCACAAAACTGGTAACAAATTGCTCATTCACAGGAAGTTCTAATTTTTCGAAAATTTTAGGCTGGGTTGTTCTGAATTTGTTCTTGAATTTTTAAGGTTTTAGCAGAGCCATTGCTAGTAAGTGTGCTTTAGCGTGTTGCCCAGGCCCATTTCCAAACAAAGTGAGTAAGACATCCTTCGTTCGAAGACAGGTTTGAAAAGTCACCAAAAAGCACCCCTTGATTGCGAAAACCCCTTGTTTTTAAGATGAGATTTTCCAAGGGTGTTTCGCAGGGCGGTTTCAAAATTCAGTTTCAGTGTCAGCCTCGGCCTGTTCTAAATTTGTTCGTTAATTTTGATCGCTTGTCAGGCTAGTTTTCTTGGGAAATTGCTCTTGAAAAGTGTGCAACCACATAGCATAACAACGTGAGCATACCTCTCGACACAAATGCAATGAAGTGAATTTACGAGCATTGAAAAGATTAGAAAAATTGTCAGGTTTCGCTGTTTGCAGCTGCAAAAATCCTCTCCTAAAAGTTTTTGTTGGAAAATTTCTGAATTTCAATTTACGACATAGAATATGTCATAAAATCCCACACTTTGCGGAAATATATTACAATCCTCCTAAAAGAGTTTATTTAATGTTATTGTTATTTGTTATTATAAAATGGAAGTAAACTAGCCTTTCTTGGCGACCCCGCCTAAGCGGTCGACTGGCTCGGCGTGCCGCGGGCTGGCGGTCCACTGGCTCGGCGTGTCGCGGGCCTGCGGTCCACTGGCTCAGCTTGTCGCGGGCCGGCGGTCCACCCAAGCATTTAAAACTAAAAATGGGAGTCTAAATGTTAAGTTGATGACATCGTAGTTAAGAACCTCTTTAGAATCAACCAGTGTCGAAATTTCCCAAATAGGTTAAGAAACTAGAGTTCTCAACTTCAAATTTTGCTCTTTAGTAAAAGATTATTGTATGAAGTCTTTTTTGTGCAGGAAAGAATCATGCCTATTCCAAACTCGAACGCCCCGGATCTGAATCCGGTTTACCGGACACCAAGCCAAAGCGGAGAATCCCGAATAAGATCGATATTGCAAAGCAGGGTGAGTATGAAGATTAGCCTCGGTAGCAGAAAGCGTGATGTAACACCCAGTTCCGAGGCTGGGAAACCGAAGGAACAGCAATTCGAGGCTCCACCAGATGAACAGCTGAACACCGGTTTCGTTTTCAATGATGTTTCTTCTGTCTCAAATAATATTGATAGCCTGGGAAATACTACCGGGAAAATACCTTGTGCAGAAGGAAGTCCTATTTTTGTAGAGAATTCCCAGTTGAATGGGGAAGAACCCTCGAGAGACAGATTCAGCTCCCATGACGATGCACCATTGCAACCCCATGTGATTAGCAACGAAGACGGTGCCAATCAAGTTGAAAAGGCAGAATTTGCCAATAAAGAAATGACACAATCTATTGCTGTTAGTTCCGAGAAGGAACATGCAATATTGGTTCCACAAAACATTACGTCATATGAGGAAATTGAACGAGAAGATTCCAATGAAAGCGAAGGTAATCCCCCGAAACCGCTCCTTGAACATGTGATCCGCTTGTCAGAAAAAAGACCTATCACTGAAAACAACATTGTCTGTGATCAGCGCCAGAAAAGTTCTAGCCTGGGAAATACTGTTGATTCGTTGAAAATAATCGATGTGTTACCTGAGATAAACTTGTCTGCCACGAGTAAAGGTGGCTATAGCGAAAATGAGCATCTTTCTGTTTCGAAAGACGATGAAAATGATCTTTTTGATAAAAATGATACTGTATTGAAACCTATCCAAAGCGGGGATTCCGCGGGTCACGTGGATGAGCTGAAGTCATGTGTCAATGGGGATTCTATGAATTTTGAAACTGAAACAGACGTGAGTCAAGACAAGGGATTAGCTAACGACATAGACGGAAACGAGTCGGATAACCAAGTTGCTTTTGCAGGTGATCCGGAAGATGATGGCGAACTCGAGAAGTATTTAAACGAAGGTGAGGATTTTGATTCTGAAGGGACTAGACGACTTAAAGACGCGGATAGCTTAGTTGCTTGCCAGCAAAGTGATTCTGCCGAATCGGGTGGTGATAGCAGGAACTTAGAGGAGGGCAACGAAGAAAAATTTAAGAATTTGATCCAGAGAGGAATAAGCGAAGAGCTTCAAGACTATTTGGATAATGACAAAGATGGCGGGCCTAATGTATTAGATCTCATTGCAGAAGCCTCTGGTCCATCTGAACTGGAACTTATTCCGGTTGCAGGCCATCCGGTCGGAATGATACTGCCTACAGGCGATAATCCGCCGTTAATGACGACATTAAATGCATCAGAGGAGAAGGATCTTGATGGTGATTATGACAGTGACAGTAGTGAGAGTGTTTCGAGTATCGAAGGCTTTATGGATTCTGTGAATGGTAAGTTTCCGGATAAAGAGCAAGAAAAAGACTTGCAAGATGGGGTAACACATCGGAAAGAAAGTGCTACTGAGGAAGAAGTTCCGGACGCGTCAAATTCGATACCGGAAGCAAAGGATGCTGCAACAACCTTGCTGTCGCAAGGGACCAAACAAGATGATAATACCACCAACAAACATGATTCGGCCGTGGAAAATCAACAACCGGACGCAGAAGTTTTTGCTATTTCTTTGCAGTTACAAGGGAGAAAACAAGATGATAGTACAACCGATGAACATGATCCGGCTGCGGAAAATTCATTACCAGACACAGAAGAATTTGACGAGAGAAGAAAAAGGAAATATGTTTTGAAGGAGGGAGGACTCATGAAGGATACATATTTGGCGAGGCGACAACGTTTGCAGAAGGAACGTGAAGCCAAGGCAAAAGCCCTTGAGGAGGAGGCTGCTGCTAAAAAAGCTGCTGATGATGCGAAGGTAGCTGTGACTGAGGAAAATGTCACTGCGCAGGAGCCCCGTTTTGAACAAACTCTTATTGAGAATGGCACTGCAGAGAACAGAGGAATATTAATTGATAAACCGGTTTCTGAGCAGGAGAATACCGATATTGGTCATAACGAATTGCGATCCGCCTCACCACAGCCAACTGTCGATTGCAGTTCATGTGATTTGTGTGAAAGAAAGCCATTTCAAGTTGTGACGTATAAACAGATGGAACTTGTGCTTCGGAACTGTACCGGTGTGGGACAACAGAATGCAGAAAGCAATTACGACTATATTTGCCTAACAGGTGAGTTCCTGTTAAATCATTGTTGTAATTTTCATTTCATTTCATTTCAAATGTTTTAGGAGAGTAGTCCTTCAGCAATGCTGATTTTCAAGGGGCCCTCCACTTAAAATACTTACAGAAATTATTATAAAAAACAAATTATGCTAATTACAATTCAATATTTACAATCTAAAAAAATCCTATTTTAACTTGAGTTTAATTTTACTACAAGTATCTATAACGAAAGGCGAAATGGTAATTACAATTTACAGTTACGCCTATTTACAATTTCGCAAGATTTTTTTAAGTTGGCCAAGGAAGATGCCTGTTTACACTCAGTTGAAAGGCCATTCCAAGACATAGCACCTCTAAACGAGATGCATTTCTGTCCATTTTTGGAGTTTTTCTTTTGTAGCCTTAGGTCAGTTGATGTATTCCTAAGATTCCTAGAATTTATCATAATCATAATCAGTAATCATAATCATCAATCAATAACCAATCACTAACGTCACAAACACAATTGTCGACATCAATCATCACCATTGTTCTCATTATAGTCAACTTAATCATCATAATCTTTATCATAGTCAACGTTTTTATAAACACATTTGAACTACACTGTTGTAAGATGGTTTGCAGATGACATATGCAATAATAACAAATGTATTAGTCAAAATAATGATTTTAGTCATCATAATTGTCTTCTTTGCTTGTTTAGGAGTTTTTCAAAACTTTTGATTGTATTCCTGACGAGAACTGTTACTTTAAGTGTTGTTGTGATTAGGGTAGGTTTGACATCACCCCACCAGGAGACATCTGCTTTGAAATACACACTTTTTATTTTCTTTTCGTACCTCAATATTCTTAAAATTTTTTGATTCTATGCCTGAAATTATTCTGAAATCTTTCTTAATATTATGTAATATGTAAATTTGAAAAGGTTCGAGAGAAACAGCACAAACTTTTACAACAATCTTTCTTCGTCAATGAAACTTTTCGGAATGTAAACATCCAAACACGATACAATACAAGTTCGATGACCAACAGTGTACCTAAAAAACTTTTCCATGGAAGTCGGGCTTGTCTTTTTTCCTAAAGGCTGATTTCCACGAGGCGAATTTCGCACCGAATTCACTGCGAATTCACTTCGAAATTGTCTTTGATTTCCACGTAACTGCGAATTAGCTGCGAAATTATATAATAATTTCCGCCAAAACCCAACTTCAAGGCGCCCATTTTCAGAACTGCACGCATGGCGACTGTTCCAAGATTGTTTTCTTACAAATCAAGAAAATTTAATTTTGCTTTGACTGGCTACTAGATGCTTCGAAATATTTTGCCGAGAAAAAGTAGAACTCTTTTCTACTGTCTTGCGAATTCGCTGCGAAATCAAAAATCAAAACTGCGCATGCCTTGATGCCTTTATCAGCTATTCGCTGCGAATTCGCTGCGAAATTCGCCTCGTGAAAATCAGCCTTTAGAATACTGAGACCAATAAAGATATGAAGCTGTAAATGAAATTTAAGTCTAGCAATTGCTCTCAATTAATTTCAAAATTCCACCAGTTTTCAGCCCAACTATTCTTACTAAATTTGTTCTTATTAAAAGAAAACTATGTAGTTTGTGTATTTGGAATTTCTTAAAGAACTGAGTATATTTCGTCAGAATATAAACGTTGGATTTTATTAATAAATTCAGGTGCGGATCGGAAGTAACGTGAGAAAGAAATTGCGTTTTGATTGGTTCTTTGTTTTTGACCAATCAGCGACTGCTATTCTCTTACCTTGTTGTAGTGACCAAGAGAGAAGACGAATTCTTTCTGTCCACACAGCTCCTCATCTTTTGTTTGATGTAGACATATCTAACCTGTTTCAGGGGAAAATTAGTAGCTTCTCGGTTTTGAATAATTTTGGATCCAAAAAGTGTCCTATATGTTTAGAAATGACTCGAATTGGCAGCGTTTCATCAAAATTTCAAAATCAAATTACGAAAAGTTGTAAACAATTGCTAATTTCTTACAGTTAGTGAAAGCCGGACCTCCTCTAAAGTGAGTAATTAGGAATCCCAAGAAACAGAGAATTTTCCAAAGCTTGAATCGTCTACGACTTGGCCTAAATTGTGATAATCAGCGATTGAGAGTATAGATTTTTACTGTTTCAACATCAAAAATTCGGCTTATGTTTTGTATAATATCAGCTCTGTCATTGAGCTATGAATTGTTTGCATTAGGTGTGGATTAATCGCAGGGAAAAATATTTTCATGAATTGGTTTTTTCTATTTTAGGCGTCCATCTTGTCAATGCTCAAGGGACCTGGGATCTAGCTGACGACACAGATTGCCACAGCGAATCAGAGTTGACAGACAGTTTAGATGCAATGAGGAACATCACAAACCCAAACGATGACAACATGATTGCTAAGAAAATTGTCAAGGGGAAGAAAGTCGATCTGAACGGTAAGCACATATTCGGATGGAGAAAAATAGGGAATAATGAAAACACTAGAGATTTGATCGTTTATGCATTTTGGGGGAAGGGACGCCGGAAGTAGGATCGAAGAAAGGAGGGCTTTTTAATAAATTGGGAGGGGAAGTAAGGACATTTTTCATCAAATTTGGGGAGGCACCTGCCCTATGTACACTCTCTTGTACCCCTTGTTTCGATGTCCCTGTTTCGGTGAATCGTTATGCTAAAATCCAATTGTGAGAACATTGATTGTGCTATTTACTGTGCATTATGGTAAAAACTCCGGACAATTTTGAAGAGCAGTGTTTGTTTGACCCCTAGGACATCGGTTTACTTTGCCCCGTTTGGGCTTGCACCCCTCGGGGTGTTATATGCAGGTGGGTCCACCCTAGAATGATTTGGTTAGAGTTTTCCTTCTGGTCCAGTTATTTTGGGTAGCTGATCTGCAATATATTTTATATTTGTGGGTTTAAAGGTACTATGTTCCAAGTTATTTTGTTTACCAGCTAATTTCCCATTGGTTGGACTATACAAAAGACCTATTGTCACGGAGCCAATCGGCTAATCTTCATTGTTTTCTCGATTTTAAGCACGCTGCAAAGTCTATTGTTAAAGTCTGAGCCGTTGATTGTCGGTACATAGTCCCTTTAATCATCGCACAACAATATGAGAGGAATGAATAAGTAATTACTTTCCACCTGTTTCTAACTAGAATGCATTAGCTGGATTTCCATACTCATTTGCATCAACCTCCTGAGATCTGAGGTCGTGAAACGAATGTTATTTTGTTTTTGTTTTTTTTTATCAATTTAAAACAACTACAACTCTAATATTTACATTCAACTGTGCCCCTCGATACCATCTTCTCTGATACAAGTTTTCCCAACCTAATTCCTCGTAGAGTCTTTGTCTACTCGTACCTCTCCATGCTCCAGTGACTGCAAGGGCAGCTGAATATTGAATATGCTCCAGTTGAATGTTATTCAAATTGATTGCTATTCGAAACACTCAACGTTTCTTTTGCTGCCAGTTTCTTATGTGCAAAGCAACAAGATTTTGGATTTTACCAAAGCTTGTTAATAGAAAGTATTGTGGGCGAAGCTGAAGAATCCGGTGACGGTAGCCCGAGTAACCTCGTGTCATACACGTCAGGGAGTTTTTGACTGCATCAACAAATAGCAGGTCGCCTAGGGTCGCTCTCCAACAAATATGACATCCAGCAAAACTTTATACCTATCCGGATTCTTCATATCCGTCACTTTTGCGTCTTTTCAGTATTATTTTTTGTTTTTAACTTTCCATTATTACATATTAAAATCCCATCGTATATATCTAAATGATCCCCTTTGATTTTAATGCCAACATTAATATTTAGGCAGATACAACTGTATATTTTGCCTAGATCTAAGACCTGGTTCGGTATTTGAAATATAGTCAAAATTTTCCTGTCTTTTTGAAAACGTTTTCTGTTTCGCTTCTATTAAATCAAAGATATAACTTTATTGCAATTCTTTGCCTCGTTATTACAGGAGGAATTTGTTGCCATTGGATACCAAAAAGTGGTTGTAGATTGGGGAAATGGCGTGTCACTAAGTTTAAGGAAGAATCACTAGCGATGCCTCGTAATGATAAAGACTGGAATCTGAGGCCAATCCCAAGTCCCTGTTTTGGGTCTAATCCGGCAGAGGCTGGCACTGCACAGGCGCACGTAAAAGAGGAACCGTTAAGTAAAAGAGTTAACGAGATGACGGGTACGATTTCAAGGAAGGTTTCCAAGGTAACGACAAAAGTTAACGGTATTTTGTCCAATGTTTTGTCGCCTGATGACGAGGATGCATACATACCGCTTGAGGTAATAAGAATTCGTGAACAGTTTATTGGCCCTTTACATGAAGTCGTTAACCGAGTTCGTTCACAATTCATTGATATTCCGCAACACCGTTACCGGAAAATCGGCGACGATTCAATAAACACAGCGTTAGGATGGCTGGTGCGGCGGGAGTTTTACAACGCATTTTCAAAGTTGCTGTTGATTGGAAGAAAAGAAGACTCGACCGTTGCGCGGTTTATTTTGGGGCGTACGACTTCCTATAATATGTGGTCCCTTGCAAAGGATATCGCACTGGCGTGTGCGGAAGAACCCGTTTTATTTGAGATCGTAAACATCATCGAGAACTCACCGTTTCTGTTCGATGACGATTTACGCGCGCGGAATTTCATTTGCGAGGCTCTTAATTGGCAAAGCGAGGCTAAGAGTGAAAAGTTATTGGTGACGTGGTTTAGGACCTTCGTTCGGGAAAGAGGAATTATAAGCAAGTTTTTTACGGAAAAATCGCTGTGGAGGCGTCACGAAAAGGAGTTGGAGATTCTTGTGAGAGATGTAATCAACGTGCTCAGTTTATTGAATGAGTACCAGTTCAACTTGCATGCGGATTTTGAGCACAAGGAGCTAACAAAGAGGTTTGAAAACCAGTCAGTAGATTTGATACTGCAAAGGCAATCAAAGGATGTTGACTTAGATGTCATGGTATTCGAGTAGGTGCTGTTCTTGTGAGTGTATCGTCTACAGGGTACCGCCTTCAGGTAAAAACCCGTTACTTGATCTGACGAATCGATGAAATCTTAGGCACTGAAGAACATTGCTCGCAATAGATTTAAATTGATCGCAAAACTGTACTCAACAGCTTGATATCTTTTAATATATATCAGTAATATATTTTCGTTTTGGTAAGTGATAATCTTTCTTAGAAGAATAAATCTCATCAATTTTATTCTTTGGTCAATTTCATCTTCCAGAAGCTGGTGGAGGCTTGTAAAACCAAATTTACTGTTCGTAGTATAGATCTACTCTGATGTCGAGAATAAAGTCCCACCCCTCCTCCCCCACCCTTTTATGTTTTCAGTACTTTCGAAACCCCTGATTTCGAAACCCATACCTAATTTCGAAGCTTGTATTCTTGGCTGCAAATTAACTTACAAATACTTTGACTACTTCAATAAACTGTAGCATTCGAAATTTCCGTTTCCCAAACGATGCAAAGAAAGCGGCAGTTTGCCCACTAGATAAAGGGGAATCAAATCGTACATTAGAAAGAAATTTCAGCCCAGTTAGTGTTCTCAATACCTTTTCAAAGATATATGAAAAAGTCTTAAACAATCAATTGGTTCAACATTTAGATTACACGCTTTCAGTCTTCATTGCTGCGTATCGACAAACGTATGGAACCCAACATGTTTTGATACGTTTGATAGAAGACTGGAAGACTAGCCTTGACAATGACTATCTCGTTGGTGCAGTCTTAATGGGTCTTTCGAAAGCTTTCGTTTGTATCCCACATGATTTGCTTATTGCCAACAGTGTGTTGGGATAAACAATTCATACAGCTCTTTTCAAGAGGTTAGGTCTGGTGTACTCCAGGGCTCTGTGCTAGGACCAGTCCTGTTCAATTTTTACATAAATCACCTATTTCTATTCATAAAACAAGCAACGATCTATAATTATGCAGACGACAATACACTTGCTTATTTTTTTAAAAACATGCGCGATCTTGTTAATACTTTGCAAAAAGAAACGGGAATCGCCTTATCATGGTTAAAACAAAATGAAATGATTGCAAACCCTGAAAAATTTCATGCTTTAATTCTTAGGAAAAACAAGCTAATACTAGTGGAGAACAAAAAATCATTAATGGTAAAAAATTTAAGTCTGAGGATACAGTGGAGCTTTTAGGAGTTTTGTTGGATTACAAACTTGATTTCCATTCACATATTTCGAATCTTTGCAAAAAAGCTGCAACACAATTGATTGTTCTTAAAAGATAAAAGACGTTTGTTGGTTTCCACGAGAAAAATATTCTTGTTCAGAGCTTTGTATATTCCAATTTCAGTTATTGTACCTTGGTCTGGTATTTTTCATCGTCGAAATCATTACAGGAAATTGAACAGATACAAGAATGCGCCCTTTGATTTCTCTATAATGGTGATACAAGTTCGTATAACGATCTGTTTCTGAAGTCAGAGAGATGCACGATGCTCGTTGCCCGTTAAAAAATTATGTGCATTTAAATATTCAAAACAGTAAAACAGCTAAACCCACCTTTTATGCAGAGTATTTTTGAATTACGTTCGTCAAATTATTCATTAAGAAAACCGAATAACTCATGTTAGACCTAATCAAACAACATTTTGATCCAAAAGTCTTATATCAATACAGATTTGGAATGGCCTACCCGACGAGTTGAAATCCGCAGAAAATTTTAAAAGTTTTAAGAATCTAATAAAACAATGGGACAGACCGATTTGCAAATGTAAGCCTGTCAGCTTTTGTCAGTAATTGCAAGTTAATCTTTAACTTAGTATCTATAATTACTTTAATGTATTAATTGGTAGCTATGTTCGATTTTGATTAGTTAACATTGTATACTTATGTATATATTGTTAGCTATCGTTTTATATCTAATTAAAATAAATTTACAACAACAACAACCCTTGTCTGTCTGCTTCCTCCCCATCTCGGCATCGATATTTCTAACTGACCCCTTCCTCCCCCTCTCTCTCTCTCTCTCTCTCTCTCTCTCTCTCTCTCTCTCTCTCACTCTCTCTCTCTCGCTCTTGCTCTCGCTCTCACTCTCGCTCTTGCTCTCGCTCTCTCTCCACCTCAATTTCCACCTCAATTTCCACCTCAATTTCCACCTCAATTTCCACCTCAATTTCCACCTCAATTTCCACCTCAATTTCCACCTCAATTTCCACCTCAATTTCCACCTCCCCTCCTTCTCTCGACACCCCTCCTTTCCTTCCCACCTCACTCCATTGCCTTCCCACCTCATTCATTTTCTTCCCTCTATAGTTAAGCTTATATATCGCGAACAAATGTCAATATCCGTAACTTTGACTGCAGGGGTAAAATTTATGGAGCTTCAGTGAAACCCCGATAATATAAGACTTCCACGAACAATGAAAATGCTTTACCTAAATTTTAGTTCAATTTTACGTATATTGTTGAAAGCTATTTGCTATTTTAGCCAAATTTTTATATTAACTTGATAAATATTTCACAACTTCCTTTGAAACCCGTTTTCTGCTGCATCTCAAACCGTTCCGTTTGGAAAACATCTAATAATACCAACTTTAAAAGTTACTGTCCTAAAATTCAGACCACTGTCGTCGGCTTTATCTTAGTGGCAACCCCAAAAGACAGATCAGCGCTTAATCAGAACACATATCTTTAAGAATTAATATAAGAAACTTTCACCCTGCAACTCATACATATACTTTCAAAACAAAATAAAAACAATTAAAAAAGATCTTGAAAAATTAGTTTCATTTTTTTTGGAAATGTACTATCGTCTTTTTAAAGGGTAATGTCCCCTGACCCACTTATTGTCACATACGTGGTAATGTCCCCTGACCCACTTATTATCGATCCTGCAAATTTAATACATTGGTATATATTTTTTGAAGACAAGATCAAACACCAATCGGATGCTTTAAAAAATAGTTTTCCCTTCCTGGTGACATTCCGTAGCATTTTAAAACGATTGTGTTCCCTTAGCCCGTCATTTTGACAAGACAATTTAAGAGCTTAAAATCATAAACATTTAGCCCTTCTCCCATACATGCACATTTAAAACAAGACCCGAGTAAAGGTGATTTACTATAGTTTTTAAAACGGACATTGGCCCGTAAACCATCTTTTTGCCACGGAGAGGACAACCCCTTTACGCACTTTTGCACCTTTAAAACAGGACCCAAGAGCAGTGTGTCTCCTGAGAGAAACCAGGACTCGAGGGAATCATAGTAAATACTTTTTACGTCTACGAGACTCACAAAAATTCAAAAAGTTATGCCCCTTGTGGCTTTTTTGGGAGCGTTCTCCCTTTGAGTTGGTAGTGTGCGCTGGCATCCTGTTCCCTAAGGAGCTATCAAATACCCAAAAACCATTGCAAGGGCAAGGGAAAGTCTGTTTGTTTTGAGAACACGGACGAGAATGACACAATACGAGGGAACGCGTTTGATACGAAAGCAGCCACTGAAGCTAGGCCTAGTATGGAGCAACGAATCCCAACTAGAAGTCGTTACCTTTTGGTGAGTCAATTTACTTCTTTCCTTGTTTGAAATCAAGAATAGAGGAGAAAAAGTCGAAAATAAATGGCTTTGAATTTTGAAATGTTTTAATCATACATTTGGATTTATTGAGATTGTAGAAAAACTGTTATTCCTAGGAAGATATCTGTTTTTAGAGAGGACAAACATTGAAAATAGACAGCTTTAAACATCGTTTTTCATTGTGTTTGGGTCAATAGTCTATAGAACTACAACAGCTACGGTGGTAATGGGAAAATCGAAATTGAGAAAGAAAACTGCCCTTACAGTCTCTTTAGCTGCAGCGACAACAATAGTCCGTACCAGTGGCGTACCCAGGGCTGTAGTAGTGGGGGGGCCTGGAGAAAAAAAAATTGGACCACGCCCTTCAAACACTCGCCAATGCGGGAAACGCCCTTTTTACAAAATTTCCCCCCATTATTTGATTCATGTTAGCTACAGTGAATAGCAAAGTATTTTACAATTGTTATTGACACAAGCATACAGTATACTACCCCCCTCCCCCCCAATGAGTTTTACATCGTTTTTGGACAAATCTCGAGAACCATACTTTAGAAAAGTGGGGGGTCCGGACCCCCCTATCCCCCCCCCTTGGGTACGCCACTGGCAGCGATAACAATAACTAGTTAGTTTTTTATGGTGAAATGGTTGTAGGCAAGGATCGCAAAGTATAATACAGATTTAGGAGGCTTGAACGTTTGGGGGCCTAAATAAAATCAAAACCAAAGCAATGGTGATGTTTTTAGTACATTTTGGAAAGTATTGGGAGATAAAACTCCTGTACCCTCCCCCACCCCGCTCCCCGCTTTCGCAGTCACTTGTTGTAGGGTACAAGAGGGGTTTCGTGGTGTTGTTGTTTGTTTACTTCTAGCTTACTACAATAAAATATGAACTAAGCAGATCCAAATCGATAAAGAACTGTGCGAATATATCAATAAATGCTTAAATATACACAAATGAATATTTTTACAAGTTATACTTGAGGGATTTTATAAAAGATAAATTTTAAAACACAATGCGTTGCATTTACAGTCTGGGCCATTCTACATTCTACTTCTAAACTATTTAAATTCCTGAATACATAGGGAGATGGATAGTAGGTTGACAAGGGTTCGGGAGTATGCTTGGCAACTGCTGGAAGGTCGGAAAAGGGTAGTTTGAGGGGTAACGAAAGAAGATTTCATTGGTTTTACTGGACGTGGAGGGTAATAGCGAGGATAAGGAGGTTTTGGTTACTTGGGGAAAGAATTCAAAAAAGAATTTAATATGGATCCGAAAAGCATAAGATTTTATTTATTTCCTTTTGATTCATATTCGTCAAACTTTCCAAATACATATATAATCTTTATAACTTTGATATAAAGCGCAATATTTCAAATAGAAACAGTTTGAACTTATTATCTTTAGTGATTTTGATAGCAGAACCCTCTTTGCTTACGGGCCCATGGGTAATTGCTCCCCTTGCCCCCTCCTCTCGGTGTGCCTGCTAATAACAAGGAGATAATTGTTATGAAATTTATTAAAGAATATCCCAAACCTATATCACAGGGAAAGGCACATATAGATCGTATCTTTCTACAACTTGAGCAAATCGCCTATGAGTCTTGTGATGCCGAATTGGACTGCACTTACTATACAACATATGTATCCGCCTAATGAATCTGTGGCCCGTGACCTAAACCAAGGGTGTCCAACTAAATTTCTGGGTCGGGCCACAGACAAAGCTTTACGTCACAGGCGGGCCAGATGGATGATTACGTAAATTATCAGCAAATGCTAGACAAATATTTACAGAAAGTTTATTCACATCACACATTAAACTGGTAGCTGATGTGCGAAGAATGCCGTGTAAATTTTCGTCTGCGAATATGGCCTTTTAGATTAAATCAATTTCCCTAATTATGGGAAAGTATGCCTAATTATGTTAAGTATGACTAATAAATTATAATGAAATTATAATGGCACTACAAAGACAAAGTGCAGGGTTAAATAATTCAAAAGTTATTGCCTTAACAAGGGCCATAGAATATACCCACGCGGATCACTTTTGGACCGGGGTCCGTATGTTGCACCCACTTGACGTAACCACTGAACCATCCTCGAACCTTACCTGGGTTTTAACCAATCAGATTCAACCTGCTGCATCCCCTTTACCATTAGAAGTATTAATAAAAACAAATTGGGTAGAGAGGCATTAAAAAATAAAACACACTAAACTATTTATCTAAATTATCGATGATTCTCATTGTTACTCACAGGTGATTAGTGCACGCCTATTGTCATACGTGATTGAGCTCCTCCTCATCGTGTGGCTTCGCTGCGCAAGGCTAACTTGACTTTGAATGGTTTTGGTATATTAACAACCCCGACGATTCCCTCCAAATCTGAGGATTCCCCCTCACCTTTAATTACGACGTATCGATATAGAATACTTGATAAAAACATGAACAACTCCATTTTCGCCAAGGCCTCCCCAAGGCATACCCTTCTTCCGGCTCCAAAAGGCAGGTAGCTTTTCTTTGCACCGATAATCAGGTTCCCGGTTTCATCAAGAAATCTTTCCGGTCTAAAAGAATCCGGTTCCTTCCACTGATTCTCATCATTGTGCATTGCCCATATGTTGAACCAAATTTGCGTCCCCGCAGGGATCTCCTGCCCTTTGCATATCGTGTCCGACATTGTTTTATGGGGCACTCCTAATGGCACAACACTCGACATGCGCATTATCTCGTGGACAACTGCTTCGAAATAAGGAAGATTCCCACGGTGTTTAAGGCATGGCCGCCTTGTCCCAAGTCTTTCTTTCCTCTCCTCCGCAATTCTCATCTGAATCTCAGGCCAGGCTGCTAAGTAAAGGAGGCTCCATCGCAGAGTCGTTGTTGTTGTTTCGACTCCCGCAAGAAACAAATCACTCATAATCTGTTCGAGGTTGACATCACTCACGTTGGCTGTTGAGCTTCCTTCTGTTCTCTCGAGGTCCTGCATATACAGTACAAGGTCAGTAAAGTCACGTGGGTTATTCACATCCAAGGTTTCCCTGTGTTCTTGAAGCTTGGCGTCCAGAAAGGCATCCCTTTTTAAAATGCCTCGTTTAAGATCCGACAGTGGCTGGTTTGGTAGGTATCTGAGCCATGAAATGAAATTAACTGCAGCCGTAACGTCAAACTTGCCAATAAGATAGGAGAAATACAAAACCTCTTTAAATTCCCCATCATCGAGCTTGTAACGTTTGCCAAAAAGGATGGCACAAATGATATTTGTCACGGAAAGGCCTAAAAAGAAGTTAATATTAAATGAAGCTAAGAAAACCCATGAAATCAAATGATAAAAGATATGAAGGGTCGATAGTCCCTGTGTGATGACGTCATAAGAATCTTTTTCGGCGGTTTTCGGTCACTGGTATTTTGAGCCAATGAATTTATGAGACCCAGTGTGTACAACAAATCGTATTAAGGTAACATGGAATTTTTGTTAAAGGTAATGTGTCCAACTAAAGCAACATGTGATTTGGTCAAAGTTCATAAGATCTAAAAACACAATTTCTATGACGTCACACTTAAGAACTTCATTTCATCGTAAGCCATTCGCCAATCCGCTACACGTCGTCATTGGCAACTATTAAAGTGCTTCACATGATATCACACGCAGCTGTAGTTGCGTGATATTGCACGCAGTCGGTAACTGTTCGTTTTTTCTAGTAGATACATGTGAATGATATATGATAGAAGATACGAATATACATATGAAAGATATATGATAATATAAAATAATCAATGATAGATAAAGCATACAGTAGAACCTGTGTAATTCAAACTCCATAAAGGATCGTAAAAATATTCGAATTACAAAATGTTCGATTTATAAAGGTTTTTTTTCAAGGGACCCGATAATTCTGTTCGAATTAGTCGAACCTCGAATTACACATGTTCGTATTAAACAGAGCTGACTGTATAAAGACTTTACCCAGGTCTGCTGCCGGGTCAAATTCCTGACCATTCTTTTCGTCAAATCTCTCAAACAACTTTTCTATTTCAACTGATACGCTGTCGCCCAGCTTGGATAGTCCTTCTCCATACATCTTTAGAGCACCATGGGCGATTTTGCGCATCGCGTTCAGCCGTGGGCCATAGTCAGCAAAAACAATATCCTGGAATCCTTTTGTGACTATCCCTGTTACGAAGTTGTCCTGTGGCCTTCCTATAATTTGAATTGAGTTTATAAAAATAAAATGCAGCGAAAAATACACTTTTAATTTACATCAATGTTCTGAGCCACGATTACGATCTAACACATTACTTTTCGTCTGGATAACAAGCCCGTAGTCAGGCCTGGCAAACTATCCAAACCTGTTGCAGGCAGACATTTCAGCAATATTTCTTTCCAATTTCTTGCTTAGCAGCGAAATGTTTTTTGATCGCCAGGCACCACCTTAAGTCCAAAATGGATAATAAGAGACCCCAATTAACAATTTTCCTTCCTTCAATATTAGCTTGACTCAATTTGTCATGACAATCCCATTCCACCCTTGGCTGCGGGCCTGCTGGATAAAAAAATTCAAATTGTTGTTTTTCTATAGTAGATTTTTAACCAACGTTAATTCTTTAGAAAATTTAGAAAATTGACGGCAAAACCGTCCCGGGTGAAAATTTTCACCACGACCCCCTGGCTACGGTTATGTCTCTTTATAAATATTAAGTCAAAAAGTTCATAAAGCTATCTGTGAAGTAGTTTTCAAATCGAGGCCGTCAATTGAGTGGATGTATTATTTAAAACTGTTTGGGCTCCACCTTGCATATGGTAAGGAATGGTTGGGCAGAGCAGCAAAATGCATCGGAACCTGGGTAGAAGATTCCCAGACATTCTCTGGCTTGGCAAGAAATTTTCATCAAAACTTGATAAAAAACATCTGTTTTTGCAATTACAATAATATTTTCTTGACTAAGTCACAAGAGATGGAAAGCTTATATCAATGTGAGCTTACTGTTCTCGGGTTGTAGAATGCAACAAATTAAGAGGTTTTTAAAACATTTATAAAAACTATTTCTAATTTGTCAAATATCACAAAATATTGTATAACCTGGAAGCAACCTTCTTGTTCGGGAGACGAAAGTTTCAGTCCTTCGTTTCGAAACAATACCGTCTTAAACCAATCAGTGTTACAGTCATAGCACATGCGCATTGATAACAGTATTCGCACATCTGTACTGTTTGGGACCACACAACTTTCCGCCAGGCCTTCAAGTGATAATGCGCATGTGCAATGACCCTGAAACGGGGGCTGGTGCATGTATGGAATACGGGCATGATTCATCTCCCGAACAATTCAGTGACATTGTCCAAGACCTTTTAAACAGATACCTGAAGTAGACCAGAAGAAGGCAATTGATGTGCTTTGGAACATGCCTGTTTAATATCAGGTTATGCATTTGGATCCTAAAGATCCAAAGATATGAAGTTGCTTGACCTTTAAGTCTTGTCTTGATTGAGGTCTTAGCAGACTTGGCAAAGTCTGGAGTCTTAATTGAGTTCTTGGCAGACTTGACAAAGTTTCTAATTGTGATAAAATTACATCGTCATGTTCATTCATATCATATTAGGCCCTGTTCACACGGTACCGGATTCATTTCTTATCGGATTCACTGACCCAATCCGATACGAAATGAATCCGGTATCGTGTGAACAGGGCCTTATTCTTTTCAAAATTGAGCTGTCACCAATTATTGACGTAAAAGATGAGTGCACCTATCATATGCAAAAAAGACCAAAAGGTTGGCTCATAAGTATAAAGCTGGCATCGGCAAGCAGCATAGAAGCAACAGCAATGGAATTGTTTCGTTTTACCGGAGGTGTTGACATTTTTTTGAGTAGTACAAAAACTCAAAGGAACAATGCTATTGAAGTTTTATTAATGAAAGGCCAAAAAAACTGGCTGATAAGTATAAACGGGTAACCAGATTCATTTTCCGTGAAGTTGGTATCCATGACTTTTCCCAGCCATGTGGAGAGCGTCACCTATATTGAAAATTTCTTCCAGTCAATAAACACATTGACAATAGGTATAAAAATCACTTTTGCTTTTCAATCTTTGCCAACAATAGGCCCAACTTAAGACAAATAACTTGCGTGACTGAACTTAAGAACTGTTTTGCGCCGAATTAAAAAGTATTTTGTTCCTAGCAGGGGTGGCGCTAGAGACAAACCTTCAAGGTGCCGACGTTTATATTCTCCGTAACTGCCGACGCTGGATGTATCGAATTGCCGACAAAAAAAATGCGATGTGCCCCATATAGCAGGCAGGGCCGTCGCGAGGCAAGCCTCGTTGGGTGGAATGATTAAATTTACCTGATTAAAAAATTATTGCCTGAAACTTTTTAGCTGTTGTCACAAACATCTGCAATAAATTTTGTCAATCTAACTCTGTATGATAATAACCGACTTTTCTAATAGTCTTGTCAAATCTTTATATCTGGACGGGCAAAATATGTAGTTACTACCTGAGGCGGCACCATGGTTGCCGCCGAAGGGGCAGGAAACTTTCGAATTGTGATGCTTCTAGTTCCCTGGAAAATGCACGCTTTTAAGCAGATTTCACTAAAGCAATCCTCCTAATCCTATTGAAAATTATTGTCTTTTTGCAAAACTTTTTTACAGCAGATAAAAACAACAATTTCGCCGTGGTCTTGAAAAATACCAGGTTGTCAGTTACTTTCAAATTTAGATCCCTCTCTCCATCTTAGCATGCCTTATGAATGTTAAGAAAAATCTGGAGCTCATAGTGAAATGCAGTTGACGCTTCTACTGAGAAACTTTAGGAGAAATGGACACGAGGCACAATTTTACCTAAGATTGCTTGATCCTTTATTGATTTTATGACAGGAAGGTCTCTGAAATACCTAAAGCGTTTCTTCCACCGAGCGGATTTTACCTGAAATTTCCTATTGAGATAATATATAGTTACTACCTATTGAGATACTATTGGGGTGGGTGTGACAACCCCCCAGTCGCGACGCCCCTGAGCAGCACCTCCAATGAAGGGGCACCGATATAGAGCATTTTTCCAAGAGCAAGCAAGCATATAGAGCAAGCAATAGAGCATTTTTCCAAAATCGATTGTTGTGGGTGCAAAATTCTCCCTTGCCCCCTCCCCGCCCCCACTTTTCAACCTGTGTCGGAGTCCACGAGATTTTCTCGGCAATGTGTGCCTTGTAAGAAACTTAATGCGCAAATATTGCCTATTGTTGAATATTTCTTTCTATCTATGTTGGAAGAAGTTAATCGATGGTTTTCTCTAAACCATTTGTTTGTCGCAAGCTATGCGGTGAACAATGCTATTGAAAAATAATTGATGAAAAAGGACAAGAAGTGCTTTTTGAAAAATTTATTACGCAAAATGTGCTCATGATCGAAATGCTTTCATTGGCAATAATAATGTCTTGAAACGAAAAGAGAATCCCTTAAGAAGAGAATTCATTAATAACTTTATTTGTGACAGCGTGATTTTGCTGTTGTTAGGGTAAATTTTCTTGAAACAGTCAGAAAACATGATCCAAATCAAGCATCTCTGCACGTTTCGCATGAATTGGCATTCGCATGAGCAGCAACAGGGATTTCAACCGAGAGGAGCACGATGGTATTGTGGGTCATGCGAAGGAGCACCATGAAATTAAGTCACAGCTTTCACGGAAGCGACAGGATATAATGCCACTATGATAGTAAAATTGCCGAAGAAAAGCCATTGAGAAAACCATAAACCAGCCAGCGCAGTTTTCTCCTCGATAATTTATGTCATTCAAACAACATGTAAACCGGGTGACATCCATCAAGTGCCGACGGTATTAAGAAAGCAAAAATTGATTGGCTGCCGACGGGGGGGCTAACAAAAATCTAGGGGGGGCTAAAGCCCCCCCTTGCCCCCCCATGCCGCCACTCCTGGTTCCTAGACCGGACTTAAGAACTGCTTAGTTGATATCCCCAACCCAAGAACATTTTGTTGCTTGACCTGATTTAAAAACAATTTTGTTGCTAGACCCTGCTTGGAAACTCCATTGCCAATAGACCCGACCTGACCCAGAACTCTATTGTTTCTAGACCCGATTTCAGAACTCTTCTGTTGCTACACCCGACCCGACTTGAGAACTTTATTGTTACTAGACCGGAACTTTACTATTGCCAAATACGACTTAAAAGATGCTAGATCCAATTTATAAACTTTATTGTTGAAAGGTTAGACAGCAGTTGTGAAACCCGACTGATTCTCCCATGAACCTTTGCAAATGTGCGGCCACAATATTGACTATATGACATAACACCTACCTGCAAACTGTACACCATTTGTTAACAGCGCCTCCCTGGCGCTATCTATGTCCTGGATAATCACAATGCGTTCTCGGCCAAAGCTGAAGCTCATGACACCCCCATAATCCTTTGCAAGACGCTTGAATGCTTTCATTGGTTGGTTGTGCAGTAGATGGAGATTGCCAATGAGTGGTAAGGGGAATGGGCCTGGCGGGTACCGCTTGAGCTTAGTCAGAATAATGACGTAATCAATGATAACAGCTACAACAACTCCAAGGGCCAACGTTGAAATAACTTCCAGAATCATCTTTGTTTTGTGTGAGAAAGCTTGAGAAAAAGAAAAGTAATGATATTGAAAATACCGTAAATTCTCGAATTAGGCACCTGGGGGCTTATTCTTTTCTTATATTTTTGGATGAGGGCTTATTCAAGGGGGGGGGCTTATTCAAGGGGGGGGGCTTATAAAATAAGCTAATGAGCTAGGAGTAAAATAGATTTGAATGGAAATTGAAGAAGAAATAACCTTTATTACAATAAAATGATATTTATCATGATCCTGATAATGACAAAATTAGCATAATTCATGTAATGTAAAGTAAATGGGAATTTTCAAAAGAACATATATCCATTTAGCCAAAGGATTGCACAAAAAGAGCTTACCAAATAACATTAACAAAACACATGAAATGGTTTTATAAAAGCCCAGATTAACATTGGAGTTGCTCTTGGTAAAATAATGATTATATAGTTGTAGTGCAATAAATACTTAAGCAGGGGGGCCTTCATGTTAAAAGAAGCGGCAGTCTTCCTCGACCAAGGCTTATATAAATGAGTTTGAAGATGGCACAAAATAGCAGAAACATAACATGATAGATGAGTATAAGAGACCATCTGGAGTTTGTGACCCTATGACACAAGTCAGGCCAAAACTGCAGTAAATAAAATGGCAGCCTATATCATTAAGATTTGTAAATTCCTCTGTAGCTCAAACAAGCTACATTGTAAATCAACAAAATTCTGATTTTCATTCTTAAGTATTTTTCTCTATTTGAAAGAGGTTTCAATGTCAAAAAATAAAGAGAGTAGCTTTTATCCACTATCATTGTTTTATGGTTTGCCTCATCTGAGGTATTTGAACTAGAATAGAACAACAGGATTCCATCATTGAATCGCAGACACACATGGAGAGTTTCTCTTCGGTTTTTCACTTTACCTTAGAGAAACAAGTCACCTTAGCTTATTAAGATTCATTTAATTTAGTAAATACAAGTAAGCAACAACGTTTACCAAATTAAATTAATCTTAAAAAGCTAAGCTAATTTTTTTCTCTAAGGTAAAGTGAAAAACCAAAGAGAAACTTTATAACCAACTCAATTAAAAAAAAATAGCTTTGTACAAACTCAAAAGTTGTTAATAGAGAGTTATTGAATTTAATACAAAAGGAAGAGAAAAGAGGTAGATTGAAAAAAAGGCTAAAGAATTATTGCATACTTTCCAAACAAAAGGTGTTCTCTGTTATTCTTTGCGAGTTTGTTTGTTTTGCAAGTTTTGTGAGTTCACTACAATTTCAAAACTTATGGTACTGTGAACTATAATTTCCTGGCAGGTTTTGGCTACAGCAGGCCTTGCCATTTGAGAAAAGCCATAGCTATTGATCTCCTCCAGGCCCTCTTCGAGTGCTGGAGGAGAGCTACAGATTGCCCTCCTAAACAGCTCTAAAAAGAAAATAGCTCTCCATGAAATCAATTTTTCCTTTGTTTCTATTCTTATTTATTTACAAATAGCCCTTTTTGATCCGGGCACTTGGATACCAAAACGACGGGGGTGTGCACTCCTAAGATTGTTATGGTGAACCGGCTTTAGAAAAAAAAGCTAAAAATGACACCTGGCTTTAGAATTTCTGGAAAAAAGAACAAAGGAAAACAAAAGCTTTGGTGCAAGTTGCCATGGTTGCCAGAACACAACAAAAACAATGGACGTGCAGCTTCTTTGCTGTTATTTTTGAATAGAAAAAAAACGAAAATCAGGCAACCAGCTTTAGATCATATCCTTTGAACAGATACCCGGCTGAAAATGATACCCGGAAAGATGTGCACATCCCGTCAGCAAAATATACTAGTTACCCCCCCCCCCCCCCCCCCGGGCAAATAGCTTACCTGGAAGTTACTAGGAGATCTGTTTACTGTTCCTTTACTAAACGTCTTATGGCCTAGCTGCCCCCTCTACCACTACCCTGCCCCTGGCAACAAATATGCGGGGTATGGTGATGGCCCAGCCAAGATGCAATAATATCATTGAAGCTGCATCCAAAAACTGACACACCTGACATTTTTGGGTAATTTTTGCTTCTGTTGGTTGTTGGTGCACCCAAGAACTTGTTAAAAAGGACATACTCACCTTGCAAAGGACATACTCGCAAACTGACCTTGCAAGATGTTGTTTGCATTCAACATGGATAAGTTATAACCACACTGACAACACAACTTTGATTTCTGATTTGATGAACATTTTTGAAACAAATACTGCAAGTTTGGGATCATCCAGTCTTCAACAATAACATTAAATTTTCTTAGAATTGAGATCACCTGTTTAAAAAATTCCAGACAAAACTGCATGCAAACTGAAAAAAGGCAATATTCACACAAAAAGAAGAAACTTACTTTAACAAAAGGTCTAATGAGCAGCTGAATTAATGTTTCATGAACAAGGCTTTCCCTTCCAAATTCTTTTACCAAAGTGACCAGCAGCCTAGGTGTTTGCCATCTTGCAGCACCAACGAGTCCTCTTCCAAAACATTACCATTCAGGCCTTTCTCCCTACGCTGATGTTGTGCAGGAAACCTTTCTAACTGGCTTGATAATCGTAGAAAGAGCCCGTCTTGTCTTGTACAGGCAAGTTGGATTCACGACTTAGGCCCAATAAAAAAATGTAATGAGTTGTTTTTGTTTTGAGTACAATCTCCTCCGTTGCTTCGCTAGCTTACTCCTCCGCATAGGTTTTCAAGTGACGTCATCAAATATCCTTCAAGAGTTCTCGCAATTTTACCATCTTTTCTGAAAGAATTCAAGTACATTGCCTTTTTTATCTGTAACAAACTTGCTAAGAAATAGTTAACGGAAAGTACCGAGTTTTGTTCAATGATTTAGTGTTGTTTTGGTCTGGCTCGTTTTAGGCTGGCTGTTTTTTAGTCTTGTTCTTCAATCCCGCACTCTCTATTAATTAAGGTTTAATGAACGAAATTTAGAGCCAACATTTTACTGCATAACAAATGTATAACGCAGTGGCAAAAATGTACCCTACCGTGGAAAACATTTTCTTTTTAAGGTATATGCATTGTTTTTCTGCGAAATTCCGCTATACTTTTGCATAGGTATACTTCTATAATTTCTTTTATGTTAACTGTTATATTACTGAAAAAACAATAATTTAAACAAACATGAAGCAATTTCAAGGATTGCATAAGGCAGTTCATTTACTGCAAAAAGGACGTGTGCATCTATCTAAGTTTTAATCAAAATTTCGAATTCCTTTGAATCTCGGCCCGTTTTGATTTCATCTGGAAATGAGTTCCAGATCTCGACCCTTGGATACTGAGTGGTCTGATTCCAAAATTTCCAGTTCCAGCCTTTGGTTTCAAAAGAGGATGTAGTTCACAAAGGTGGCTTGTCTTGTCAGTTTTGGCGAAAAATAGTCCTTCATAAAATTATGATTTCAGTTATCGAGAGTTCATATACTTCAAGCGCTAAGATTGTGTAGAATAAAAACTGCTTACAATTAACCGCGGGGAAGGAGCGAGCGCGTGGGTGTGAGGAGCTTAAGAAACATGACTTTTACTATTCTTAGAAGCGAGAGTGCGATGAGAGTATACATACAGCCAGCTTGTTATTGTTTTCTTACCACGAAAGAAATATATAACTACTATTTCGAGCTTTTTGTGAGTTTATCGCCTTACAACAATCTAAGTTCGCAATAAAGATTCCAATTAATTGTATACGGATTTCAGCTTCCTTTGAGTTGGCAACTGAACCATTTTAAGAAGATGAAAAGTCGTAGCGCTCCCTATTTATTTTCTCTAATTTTTTCCGACTTCCTTTCCTATATAGCAATTGTATCAATGGACAATAGTTGAAATGACATACTATAAAGGATGCTCATCTTTTTTCCTGTATTCGCTTTGTGCTTTTCATTGCTGCCTGTTCACAAATTTTATCGATATGAATGTCAAACTTACATAATACTTTAACCACGTGTAGTGATTAAAAAATATATTAAAAAATTAACAGTTAATTCAGAAAGTGCCAAAGTACAATGAATTCGCTTTAAAATCATTGGGAAGCAGTGTCGTCTTTTCGTTTACACGATGATAAAACATCAGACCCACACCTGTTTTGACAAAAAATAACTTCTCACTCTTGGACTCTTCAACTCTGGAGAGATTAGCGGTCGTTTTTATAGCCTTAGTATTATTAAATATTGTAAATTAGGTTTGATTGGTAAATTTCTTTTGTTACTAGTATTTTAACATAGTTATTAGCTCTTATTTTAATCTTTTAAACAGGTCAGGTTGAAAAACATATGTATGAACCTTTAACCTGTATAAATATTATAAAATGAAAAAAAAATGAAAAAAATGATTGGTCAAAACAAAGAACCAATCAAATGCGCCATACTGCCTCTTGCGTCGTTTTGGATCCGCATCTGGTTACCAACTTCTGCTTGACCCGAGTCATTATCCGAATTCATAATCTGAGAGTCCGGACGAAAAGAACTTTTACATATGCTATGTTTCCGCTTTCCGGGAAAGAAAGAAAATAATGAGATGTTTCCGCTTTCCGGGAAAGAAAGAAAATAATGAGAAGCAGTAGCATGGCAAAAATGGAAGTGCAAGAATTATAAAAACATTTTGATGCAAATTCAAATCTAGTTTCATTACATGATAACAATCAAACTAGCTACACAGCACATTCGATTTACTGCGAATTACTACCATCGAAAAAATGTATCTAAGAACTACATAATTAGATATTTTTCGTTTTAATAAAGTTTAGATTCTAAGAAGAAAGAAATTTTAGATTCCATGTACTTGAGAGTGGCTCGGATCGGATTTGCTTACACGGGAACTGATCCGTATTAATTTGGATCCGCTGTCAGCACATTTTTTGGACCACCTTCAGAGGCGATACTGTATGGGTCCGACCTGGATCGAATTCAACGTTTGGATCTAATCTGGATCGGATACATTTCAATCCTCTATCCGAAAACTTTTACAACCGCCTTCAGAGGCGACACCATATGAATCCGACCTGGACCGGATCCCGTGTAAATGGCTGGATCCGACCGAGATTGGATAATTTTGCATCCAATTTGATCCAGGTCTCGTGTAAACGGGTCTTGGAATATTTCACAGCAACAGACTCTTAAGGGAAGTCCTTTCATTCAATTCTTTGGTACGAAGTAAATATTCTATAAGTCCAGCAAACAGAATAAGAATCTTCGCCAAAATTGCTAATATCGACGTTATATTTCGGCAAAGGTGCTAAATTTGTTAAAAAAGTTGCTAAATTTCAAATTTCGGTTGTTGCCTGTGGTCGTATGAATGCGAATTGACTTTATGTGAAGGGAGCGAAATAGGGCGTTGCCAGCAATAGTAACACCTAAGGCAGTTTGTTGAAGCGTGGCATATTCGGACTGCCTAAGGGGCGTGTTTGGTTTTGAATTTTGTCAGAAAAATTTTGGTTAAATTTCGTCATTGACATCTGTTTGCTTTTGGGAAACGACAATCGCCATTTGGGAAACGACAATCGCCATTTGGGAAACGACAATCGCCATTTGGGAAACGACAATCGCCATTTGGGAAACGACAATCGCCATTTGGGAAACGACAATCGCCATTTGGGAAACGACAATCGCCATTTGGGAAACGACAATCGCCATTTGGGAAACGACAATCGCCATTTGGGAAACGACAATCGCCATTTGGGAAACGACAATCGCCATTTGGGAAACGACAATCGCCATTTGGGAAACGACAATCGCCATTTGGGAAATGGCAATCGACAGATACGCTCTCAAGCCACTTGTCAATCAATATTGGCCAATCACTGAGCGTGTTAGTGGTATCACACTTACTCACAATTTTTCTTTTCAAAGGTAGCTTTTCTATCTTCGGTATCTGTCACTTGCCTTTGATGCTCAAATTTTTAAAATTTTGAAAATTTCTTTAACTTCACATATTTACATACATGAAATTTCATATTTAGCCATTTCGACAAACCTCTAATTAGAAAAGCAACATAATATCTGTTACGGTTTCACTATGTACCTCTCAAATTGAAATTACTAAATTTGTTTCCAGCAACGTGCAACTAACTCTAACAAATTTTCCTTTCAGGAATCTAATCAATTAAAAACGTACAGCAAAAATTAATATTATTCTTCTGCTTGAAAATTCAATTTTTTGCTAAAAAAACAAAATTATTTTTCACTTTATTGTTGTTTCTGTTTCGGCCTTTTTTAACTCCCATTTTTCAAATAATCCAAATAACTCTGGATTTCTCTGGAGACTCCAATGAATCGGGCGTTGACTGAAATTCATTTTAGGCCACGTTTGATAATTCAAATCTTTGATAAATCTAACTATTTCTGTTTCTCTAGAGAATTTAAGTAATCGAATGCTGTTCATGTTAGTAAATACAACATAAATACAAAACAAATTAAAATACGACTTTGAATAAAATATAAGGAAATCAGAGGGGAAAGATACAAGGAAAATGTTTTTGGCCAGCTGTATAGTGTTATCATAAAACAAGGGGGGCTGTCGCGTAAAAAGGGGGGATGTCGCCAAAAACGATAGAAAGGGAAGGAACTGGCTACTTTTCGGCATTAACATGGCCAGCAACCGCCTGCTTTTGGGGCAGTGAAATTAAGAATGAACTGTTTATTTCATTTCAAAATCGAAATCCGTTTAGGCCTGGTCATTGTCACGTGTCACATGAAACATGCAAATATTCGTTTACCTAAACAGATTGGATTCAACAGCCTTTTGCGACGAGAAGAAGATCTAAAATGTTTTTTAGAAACCCTATTAAATGGAAAAATACATGCTTTTTGTTTTTGTAGCGAGGGGAAAACAAAAAGTCATATCGGGATGATAAAGTCTAGTGTTTCAATTCATCATATATCGCCAGATGAAACATATACTTTGTTTATGACAGGGGGTTCAGCTGTAAGGAGTAAGAGTCACGGGGGTAAGGTCCTTTTCTTCTAGCCTCAAACATTACATTGTAACTAATCCTTTTATTCAATAATAACGAAAATTGATCACATTGCAATCCAAAAATTTACACAATAAAGAGATACATTCTTATAAAAGTTTGACAAATAACAAACTGCAATATGGTTTCTTCAAACCGGTCACATAAAAGTAACAACCGGCCTTGGACAGGCCTCGTTCTTGCATTCATGCGTCATAAAAACACAAGGGTACAATGCTTCACGTTCACCTGGAATCGATAGATGCTTTCCTTCCTCTGTCTCACAACAAACAATAGTCAATCGATTATTCTTCAGATCCAAGAGCACCATATACGTCCTTGATTCTCGCATGTAAATAGAAGACCTACGCTTAGGTCTCCGGCTACTCCGTCTGTCAGTCGCTGGTCCGTATTTTGTTATGCCTAAATTGAAGTCACATGTGTGCTCTATATCGACATCAATTATATTTGTCCGTGATGATACGCCGAGGCAAATACGAACCATTGGGCAGGCGCTTGTAAATTTCACTTTCCATGCATGCTTCTTCTCCGCAAATTGCTGCACAGCGTGGATAAGCGCCCCCGCAGAGCCACATTTTGTGAGCAGCGCACTCATTCCGTCTTTTTGTACGGTCCATGCTTCTTGGCTCTGTGCATCTATATGAGTACCGTAAGCTTCTATGGGTTCTTGATCAAAAGATAATTTCTCCTTTTCATAGACATGGCAACAAAAGGGGCTTTCCGGGAGCTCAAGATTGTTTACAGAAATATGAATATTATGGCAGCCGGCCTCTAAAGGCCTGAATGTAACGGCATGCAAACCCCCGTCCCCTGTTTCTATTTCCGCAGGATGGCGTCGTCCGTCCGGACCACACACATTCACCTTGATACAATCATCCTTTACGAAACTATTCTGCATGCTCGTGTTCCGCGTGACGATGCGGAATCTCGCGGGTTCGTTGACTAGGCCATAATACAGACCTAACCCAACAGCCTCTGAATGAAGAGCGGAAGCGAGATTTTCACTAATATCTCCGAATTTTGATATCGAGTCTAGCAGGTCTGAGTCAAAGGAGAAATGGAGGTTGCCTACTCTAAGGACGCGCAGTCCTTTGATACTGGCGACGGTGGTACGGGAACTGAAGTCCATATCATCATCAAGACTGTTGCTTCGTGGGATTTCGAACGGCATTTGCGGTACATCTTCAATCGGATTCTGTTCATCCATCATTTCAAGCAGAGCATCGTTCTTAAATTTCAACAAACTCAGCTTCTTTTTCCCCTCAATGTCGGCTTTTCGTAGCAAGTCCTTTCTCCGCTTTTCCAAAACTTTGAGAATTTCGTCAAAAGAATCGTTAATCTTTTGCTTCGTTTTACTGACGTTTGTAATAATATTGGCGCGAATAAGCTCGACCCAGTCCTTCTGCCATTCAAAAACCTCGTTTTGGCTAACCTTTTCCATCATGCCGTTTATTTTGAGTGGGTTGTCTAGACATGCCGCTGCGAAGGGGCACTCGCTGCATATATCTTCGCTTTTGCAGTTTTTGCGAAGTTTTCTGTTGCTATGACGATGCTTGACGACATTTCCGGTTTCTGAGAAATTCAGATCAGGAGAAGAGACTGGGGAGGGGTCGAATCCAATATTTTTTTGCCGCGGTGAAATTGGGTATTCCATCATTGTGTGCTTGTGATGATGATGATGATGATGTTCATAAATTGGTTGAAGGTGGCGATGATATCGTCGCGGCATTGCTTTGTGTGAGGTCAAGAAATCTGCGAAAGACAAAAAGGGCTATTTAAGCTCACGGGCATGGAATAATGTAAAGTCCTGCGGGCAGACGCAGGGATTATTAAGTTGAGAGATCTGCGGAAAACGAAGGGCAATTACGTTTATTGGCACAATATCGATAAATCCTGCGGGCAGACGCAGGCATTTTTAAGGACAGATCTGCATTGGAAAAGTATAAATAATAAAAGAAATGTGCTGGCGATAAAAGGCCGTAAATTTAATGGATGTCAATAAAGAAGTGTCCCGCGGGCAAACCGAGTAAGTTCTGAATTCAAGATATCTATTGGCAATTTGAACATAAAATATAAAAAAATTAACTTAATAGAAAACAATATAAATGACTTTAATACCAGTCTTCGAAATGCTCCTTAAATGAAGACATCGGTGGAGCAGTCCTCGTGAGTAAATTCATTCAAGACTTTCGTTGATACACGCATTTTTTATAAGAACCAGTGAATTTTAGTTCAGGCTGACTGTTCTTAATTTTTTCGAAAATCCAAAGGCTGGATTGTTCTTAATTTGTTCTTAATCTAATAGGGTGTGTGCAGTGCGAGTGCTAGCTTTTTCTAGGGTGGTATTCAGGCCTCATTTGCCAACAAAGTGAGTGAGACAACCTTCATTTGCCGAAAAGTTTGAATATTCGACGAAAAAGCACCCACACATCGCTAAAAATCCTCGTTTTTGAGATAAAACGTTGTTCAAAATTGCATTTTGCAGAAGCTCAGCCTCAGCTTGTGTTTAATTTGTTCTTAACTTTTGACCAATTTTGAGGCTGGTGTTCTTATAAAATTGTTCTTATAAAAAAAGAGTGTATACGCTCTCAAAGCTAATTTTTATAAGAGACACTGACATGGCCTACTTGAATGACTAGCTTCGAACCATATTTCTGAGACTAAATGATGGAGACTCTTGCATCTAGGGTTACAATTGTGAGACATTCCAAAGAAAGAATAATAGTCTTATAGCCCTCGCCCCCCTTCCCCCCTCCCCAGGCCCATGTAATGGGGTTTGTGTCAGTTTTAATGGGGTTTGAGTAGATCGACAGCGAGAGATTGCGTGCAACTCGTATTGAGATTATGAACTGACTAATGATTCATACATACAATATATACAAACAGGAAGTTTATCATAAGCACAATTAGCATGAATTAGCGATTAGATTCCAGTCCTATTACACCCAAAAAATCATATCATGCAGTTCGAGTTGGTCACGCCACCTTAAATTGTTTTGTTTACCATTTAGGTGTTAATTTGCGGTGCGAAAAACAACAACAACCTGCAAAGGACGATTTGATCTTGTGAATAATAATGTGATTGTCCAAAGTGATTCAGCAATTGGCTGGCTGTGGCCGAATCAAATTAACAGGTGTTAAACAGAAATTTTACGATTGATTCATTCATTCCCCACTATTGTCAAAAACCTGTTAGAAACAGTATTAACACTTTCTCTGGGCAGCTAATTTTTGCAAATTAATTAATTTCAGACTCCAATATCGATTACTCTTATCGATTTCAAAACTTGGCTTGTCTCTAAAACTAGCTTGTATTGATATGGAGGAATTCCCTGTTCGCTCTGATGCAATTATATAGCACGCTTTACGAAAACCAACTAATTGGAAACCCCTTCATGTTGTAGAAAGCCTTTCTGAAAAATCTGTTAAATATGCCGTAAATGAAAGGTGGCCCAGTGTATACATGGCTCTGTATAAGAAAGTATTTTATACGAAAATTTTGATTCTTCGAATTTTCAAAATCTTCAAAAAATCTAGAAAGTTCAGGGCTGGATCACTGAAACATATGCAAGCTGAAAATTTATTCATAATTTCAAAGGAAATTGCCGCGCAAGAGTGAAATATTTCTCCCTTGAAAATAAATCTGCATGAAAAATTGTCTCCCGTCAGGATTTTTTGACAATAGCATGTTTAGAACATTATATCTTCTCCCTCATTACGCATGCTCGTCAAATTTTACGTGAAGAAAGTATTAAGAAACTTTTATTGCTGAAAAATAGCTTAGAAGGCATGAAGGCTTGGCTGAAATATAAAACTTTCTTATAAAAAACGTGTACCTTGTTCGAAACATTTGATTCATCTTTCTGTATTGTGAAGAGTAACAGAGCCTTCATTAAAAATTTTTCATCTGATATTGCGCAGTGCATTTGAAACCCAAGCAACAAGGCTTAAAGCAAGCAATAACACAATTCACACACAAAATATCCCTCAAACTGTAAAATTATGAATATTTTTTTAGAAGTTGGTTCTTTCGTAATTCGCAGTTTTATTTTTCCCAGTAACTCAAAATTGTTCTGAAAATTGACATCACTGAATACTGTATACATGCACATCTCTGAATGCGAGGTTTGTCAATACTTCATTTTAAATCAATTTAATCAACCTTAACAACGTTTAAAAAAAAGATAATTTTAAAGATTCAAAAAACATGTAAGAAACTTTTAGCAGCAAATTGCCTCCAAAAAAATAATAAAGTGCCTACTAGCCCGGAACTTATTAGAAATACATGTATGTCATTAACAATATCTTTTAGACGTAACCCTTCAAAAATTGCAAATTCGATGTGAAATGCTGCTCCGTTCCGATAGAATTGCTTATAAAAATGCGGAAGATAACTGCATATAATTAGCTTTAAAAACAACATGCAACGCTCCTTACCAGAAACACAAGCAAAAAACGCTTTAGAAACACCAATCACGCGACCCTATGCAACAGAAATGCCTTACCAACCTTCAAGCAATTTAAGGTCCGAAACAACACCATTTCCATCACTTTTCTCCGGTTTCATCTTTCGCAAAGATGGCAATTAAGCGTCTTCTTTCGTACGTGAACAATTTCCCGTATTTCTGAGCGAACATTTCATATCTCCTATCACATTTCATATCTTTGCTTTCAGTTATCAAAATACCTCAAGCGCATTAATAATTTATCAATGAAAGCCTAATCTTGCAGGTTTGTGACGAACGTGCGAGAAAACTGAATGACAAACACATCTTTGGTGGTCGTTCTATGCAACAAAGCAAAGACATCAGGTGGTTTAACTTAAAACACCTGCGGAGGACATGTCAAACGGGCTACCGTAAAGCTGGCATGACCCTTAATGACCTCTGTGCAGGAGAGGCACGTGCCAAATCTAGTGTAGAACTTTCTGATTCATTTCCTGATTCATACAAGATGACCCTACAAATCTAGTGTTTGTTTCGCAGGTGGACAAGTTGAAACTTGCAATATAAAGATAACATTATAAGTAATATATTGGAGTAGCAACTTATAACCGTCCTGTTCTATTACACCAAAAGCGTGTCCTGCTCTGCCTATACGGAATAGAGCACTTTATGACAGACCGGTAAACTGTAATTTTCATTGGACAATATGCTTTGTACACAAATAGTCTAGTCCGAGGCATGCCTGATGATCGCTTCAAACGTGAAACTCGGAGTAGCAGCTAAGAACCATCCTGTTCTATACACCAAATAGCGTGTACAGCTCTGTCTATACAGAATGGAGCAATTTATGACAGACTGGTAAACTGTAATTTTCATTAGTCAATATGCTTTGTACACAAATAGTCTAGTGAAAAGCATGCAAAATGCCCGATGATCACATTAAGCATGAAACTCGGAGTAGCAGCTTAGAACCGTCCTGTTCTATACACCAAAAGTGTGTCCTGCTCTGCCTATACGGAGTAGAGCACTTTATGCCAGACCGGTAAACAGTAATTTTTGTAATTAGATATTTGATTCCAATATAAGAAAATTTGATGATAATTTCATAAAATCTATGGAAACATAAAAATAAGATAATACAAAAAAATATTATACGTCAACAATAAGACAAAAATTAATATTTTTCCCATAAATATGGCTTTTGATTCTCTTTTAAATGTGTGAAACGCAGTAGAAGAGATGTAATTTATCTGGGTGAAGATGTCTTGCAATATTCCTTATGGGAAATCGTTTTTTCAGGAGTGAAAAAAATTATGATGTTAAAATACGGAATCGTTTTTTAACATTGCTTTTTCAGCTGGGTGAATACGAATCATAGGTTGTGTCTCTACGTGGAAATCATACACTCTTGATCTTGAATTCGCCGTTGTCACGGAGACGGAAGGCCGCGGCCGCGCAAAATGGCCGCGGCCGCGCAAAATGGCCGCGGCCGCGCAAAATGGCCGCGGCCGCGCAAAATGGCCGCGGCCGCGCAAAATGGCCGCGGCCGCGCAAAATGGCCGCGTTCGAATACGTACTCGTCTAGCCTGCTGGCACCTTTGGCAACTGTTTTCATCACATCATCAAATATTGAGGCTATTACTAAAACAGGGAACGGGGAATCGGGGAATAAGGGAATCGGGGAATATCGAAACCACTAAGCCAATTTACCAGTTTTATACATTGCACGAATTTGGTCTTGTAGCAATACATTTTGGTCTTAGAGATGAAGTATTTTCGCAAAGACTTTTCGTAGAAGGTATGAAACTGGTATTGACTTACTGGTTTCGAAATTCCCCGATTCCCCGATTCCCCGGTTCCATGTTTCAGTAATAGCCGAATATTTATTAGCATGCAATTATGTTGGAAGCCCATGAAATAAACACGACAAATATATTAGTAGTAACGATGGGTTGTACTAACAAATTAATTCGATTTCTAAAAAGACTTTGTCAGTAGTCTAGCAGACAAATACCATTTACTGGAGTTGCTCCAAAAAGTTCTTGAATAATTTATTTGTAAACAAAAGTAGGTCAGTCACAAAAGACTGGAGATGTGTCCAACTTGATAGGAGCTTCTTTGATTTCAAGGGGAAGAAATGAATTATTATAAGGAGAACAATGCATTGAATGTCATCCATGCAGCTGTGCAGATTCTAGCAAAAGGAAACGGGTGATTGGCTTGCTCTTCCCAGCCAGCACCCTGGAATGTATGATAATTAAGTAATGGTATGCTCACTGTAATTACACAAAGAAGGTCTGGGGTGGGGGCTATTTGGAGCAAAAATATTTTGATTTGGGGGGTTATTCAAGGGGGAGGCCTTTTTGAAGGTGGGGGCTTATTTAGCAGCTGCTAAAATATTACCAAGAGTAATATTCCTTGTTCTATTTGAGGCTGGTTCGTGTACTTAAAAATTCAAATATATTGGGAAATACCAAGATCTTTTGGGGCAATACCCAGGCCCATGGGAGCTTATGAGAGGCTGGGGAAATATATCAAAAAATACTTTAGGGTGACAGCATATTTGTGGCAGGGGCGGAGAGTTGGTCAAATATTGGGGAACAAGTCTATTGTTTTGATAAAAGGTGACATCACATTTATTCATTGTTTTAGAACAAAAGACAATTGTCCTCCAAAAATATTAGGGGTGACTGCCCCCTCACCCCCCAGGTGTCTGCCACAGTTTGAAGGGGTGTTATTTGAAGGTTTGGGCTTAGTTGTTGAATCTTGAGTCTGGGAAGATTTGTTGAGTCTAGATTTCAAATATACAAATGAATACTGAAAATTCAATGTGGTGTTGGGTGGGTGTCAAGGGCGAAAATTGGCAGCCTGTTATTTTAATATCTAATTCTATCTTATCTAATTGCTGTAGTTTCTCCAAAATTTGTCTCTTTGGCCCCCTGGAAAGGTTCTTCGCATGGTCCAATGGATACTAAAACTAACTGATTGATTTGAAGGAGAATGCTACACGCTAATACCATGTCTGCAAATTCATGATTATAGCTTATAATTTATAATTTATATGATATTATAATGAGATTATAATTTTCTTAGAAATTATACATAGCATTAAAGCAACTAAAGATATCAAATTTTGCAACAATTACCCAAGATGGTTAGAGAAATGTTCTAAAAGGTTTGGTATTTAACTCTAAAAAAACTGGAAAGAAATATAGTAAAACTGGTTAATTCATTCTTTTAACTTGATGTCAATGCAACAGCAGTTTTAGGAAGGACAGTTTTCTGTTATTTTGATTTCATAAAGCTGGCACAAACACCAGTTTTGACGGTGGTAAACTAACTTGCATAAATTAACCTTAAATTGACTTCCGAGAGCTCCAAAAAGCCAAATACACCATCACAAAATATCTTATTGAATAATTATACTAATACTTTAAATCCTGACCCTAGAGCAATTTATGTGAAATAAGCCCCCAACCCTCCAATAAGCCCCCACAGGCCGAGGTATTGCCTCAATAGCAATAGGTTTATCCAAATACATCTGGATTTTTAAGCAAAATGACCAGCCCAGAATAGAAGAAAAAAGTTATCATGGCAATATATTTAGCTGCTGCTAAATAAGCCTTTACTCTCCTCGGAGATGCCCCTACCCTAAAATATTTTTTGTGAAATAAGCCCCCTCCCCCACACGTACAGTAGATCTAAAAGAATTCCTCAATAACTCATTTAATATCGAAATATTCAAAATTTATCAATGCATCCAGAAAGTGTGACATCCTTAGGGGATATACAAAGTGAAGTGGTTGTGGCTGAATGGGCTGGAAATATAGAAAACCGTCTTTACTTTCCAACAACTTCACACAATTTTCCAGCACTGTCTGTCTAAGACAGATCTCAATAACCATTTTTCTGTATAAAGAATGAGTGCAAATTAAGCCTACTGACTGATGTCCAAAGCAATTTGTCTGTTTTAGTAATTTTCTAAGCTTTAAAATATGGTGTGATGTCACTAGGAGACTTTTCACCACATTCAAACTTGTTAGGTGAAGGTGCACACTATGCTCTTTTGAACCAATTTCAGCATCACAGGGAACTGGGGAGACAACCCCCCTTCCTCCATTTCCAAGCAGGATTGATTTCTTGCTAAACTCAAGGAGAAAATATTGGGGTAGGGGTAATATTTGTGCAACAGATTCCCTGACAGGGTTTCTTTGATTCTTGAACTGCCTTTACAAAAGCAAAAATGATCTATGGGTATTCCCTATTGGAAAAATTGGTGTTCCCTGTTGACAGTTTTTGCCAGTAAGGAAGGGCAAGGCCTTAATTTTTTTCTTCGTCCCCCACACAAATCCTAGTTGCTGGGGCCTCTTTGCTCTGAAATTAAAATGTTGGTTTCAATAAGAGACCTGGTTTTGGCTCTGAAGCCACGTGAAAAGAATGGCCTTTACTACAAGGTCAGTAAATAGCTATTTGCAAAAAAATTATTGAAAACCTTAATTATTTTAAGTTTCTTTTAACCTGACGAAACAGGATGGGCATTCAGAGGGGTAACTTTTGCAGACAGGTTTCTTATGGAGATTTTGGTTTAGTTTTCGTCTCTTAGCAGACTCACAACTCCTTTCGTCTCATCTTTGGTTTCATCAAGACATCAACCCCCTACCACAGAATAGAAAATTCTGTGCCCCTACCCCGCTCCACCCCCATACTTCGAAACCCAGTAGACCAAACTTCTCGCGTCAACACCCGCGGTTAAATAATCCTTTTAACAGGATAATCGCTCCTTGGCATTTCTGTGGTTTGCGATGGTAATCAGTCAACAACAAAAACATAACAAAATTGCTTTTATTGTAGTATTTTACCTCACAATAAAAAATTAGCACTATTAACAAGAAGTTTCCCACGATTGCTATAAATTTTCGTGATTAGAAAATTAAATATTATGTGTGAGAAGGCAGAACCGCAGGATAGGCTGTCCGCCGGATTCTGTGAATCTTGCAATGAGTGTTGTTATGAAAGATATACAGGAACAAAGCAATACGACGACGAGAATCCAATGTCACGAAATAAAATTTTCAAAATAAATTAAATTTAAAGAATATACTAATATTTCGCCCAGGCATACAGGGCTTCATCAGTAAATATTGTTAATCCGAATCGGCTGTGAGCTCTCTTTGTAATCGCCCTTTTCGTTGGAGGTGGTCCAAAATATCGGTTGTTACTGTACTAATAAGATGTTTAATTAACATCGGAACAAAGTATTCATTAACCAAAGGCTAGGCACCCCATTCTTGCACATATCAGTAAAATTAACTTTTCTTAACATGTAATATGCCTTCAAAGTATGCTGTTTTAAGACGATGAAAAGAAAAGTGAAAACTGGAAAAAACCAATTTTAAACAAGAATTCGCTTTTGCAGGAAATTGCGTTTTATCAAAGTTTGATTATGATAAATCAATAACATTTCAGCGGCTTCCGATCGTGCCAAAAGGCAGACGAAAGTCATAGATCAACTGAAGTTCACAGGTCGAGCAGAAGAGCTCCTTGAGGTTGGCCTAAATTTAGCCCGCCGAGCTTAACAAAACAACCTCTGCAAACAAGCCAATACCAAGTGCAATTGCTTAACTTCTCAACCCAATATAGAATACAAACATTATTAAAATAAAGCGTTAACTTACAAAAACGAAATTCTTTTCCATACATCCATAATTGTATTCATGATATAACAAATTACTTGATCCGCCATATCATAACATAAATTTGTTCACGTGATGAATTTTCGTGCCTTCCGACGTGTCCTATCTTGTGACGTCAATTCCCCTGGGAGATCAAAACAATAACAGCGGCTCTATTGCGTAGATTATTTTTATTGTTTATTGTTTAAATCTATTGTTTTCTCGTGTTTATTAATTAACTATATGAAAAAGTTCGTCTGTTTTATTAATGTAACACCATGCTTTATTCAATAAAAACTATTGGCACCTTTATCAAAGTTTCTTGAGTGGAAACCAATATTTTATTGCTTGCACTGTTAGCGACCCTTGAGCGTAAGAAATTCTTACTTTTTATAGTAGGAACATTATTACCAAGGCAGCGAAGGAAATTGGGATGGAGCGCTCCTATGGTTTGCGGAAAATCTTTACCCTCAAGTGGGTCACCCTTCAACGGAAGTTGTTTTTCGAGGAGTCCCCCAACAAAAACTAATTACAATATACAATTAAAATACTATAAAATAAAAAACCATAATATCAAAAACCTATTTACAATTACATGGTATTATACAGTGTAATAGGTGAAGGCGTCATTTGGCACATGTTCAGAAACCCCACGAAAACAACCACGCAAACAAGGATTCGCAATTTAAAAGAATCAAAATGGGCGTTCATATAGAAAATTCGTTCCGGCGTCCCATTAACATAATGCTCGACTCCCTGTTTCGCCCCGGGCGTCAAACAGGGACCCGCGGCCATTTTTAGCAATTTCTGCGTGGTTATAATGCCTGTTCCACGGAGAATTGGCTGAGGGGGCAAACCTTTGTTTATGTCTGCCCGTGAAAACACGTCAAGACTGAGAATGTTGCCATAATCCATCACAAAAAATAAATTATTGCTGCTCTTGTCATTGTTAATGCATTTTGACCTATATTGCTGTTTATTGCTATTGTTGTTTTGTTTTGCCTAGGCCTTATATAATGTTACTTTGTATTGAGCTAAATATATATATCACATATATATAGACGAGAACAACAGCATATTAGTTAAAAAAAAGAAAAGTCACTGGGGCTGCAGGGGCAATTGCCCCTAGTTAGTATGTTAAAAAGGCCCTGACAGCCAGACTGTGTTACCATCAGTGATGGTCCATCACAAACAGGCTTCGGGTAAAGCTGGTGTAGAGCCGACTCAGCCCCAATACGTGGTACTAAAATCTAGAGCTACCCCATGGTTTGAGGCCTTGGACCAAGAAGTCCCCTTTCGGTGGGGACGGGGCACCATGACCCACCCCAATCTTTTGCGAAACCAAGGAGAATTTGGCAAAATACTTTTCTGCGAAACTTTCCAACATACAAATTTGGCAATAAGCCACAAGTCTCCCTGAGCGCCGCTTTTGTCTCAAAGTGTTCGTGACAATTTCTAATAATCATTTTTCTGGCATCAATGATGGCTTAATTGTTAATGGCTAAACATAACAACGAGAATTAAAGGAGATAAATACTTTTTGGAGACGAGTTGTCAGTCTCTGGCCTTTTCAGACATTGACGCTACGTGGGCGCAAAACATGAATCGGCGCAGAATAAATTATTTGAAGCCCGGAAGATTTTAATTTTGGTTTTTCTTCGATAAAACATGTTTTGTGTTACAAACCACTATTATAAGTGTGTTTTGTCTATGTTTAATCAAATTGTGGAAATCACCGAAAAGGAAAACATAAGAGATTAGAAAATATAACCAAAAACCTGCCAAAGGAAATCAATACTGCGATTGTATGGTTAAAAAAAATAACCAAAAAAGTAAAGTAAAATCAGTCATCACAAAAATTCAAATTTACAATCAATTTGATACTTATCTTTATTTAAAGTCCTTTTACTATTCAGAGGTTTGGTTCGGTCATTATTTTTCTCGTTTTCATGCATTATTCATATACATATACAAATCATAAATGATTCATGAACTTTTGAATTTTTCATAAGTTTTTGAATGTACGGGTTTTTGCGTTCAAAACTTGAATTCAAAATTGGAGCCAGGATATTGAATTTTTAACAAAAAAGCTATTGAGTGATAAAAATCTCATCAATCAATTTATGAATATTCCAAGAATAGCGAAAAATCGAAATTGAATAAAGTGTAAATTCTAATTATTAATTTGAAACTTGTCAATAGGATGGCAATTAGTCTTTCGTAAGGTAGAATAAATTTTCGTTTCAACATTTCCCTGTAGTTTCTTCGTTTGCAAACCGTTAATTGAAGAAACTCAGAGTTAAAATATTATCTTCCTTTTATGTTGATCGATCGCTAACTTTAAATAACTATTTCCTGGCTGTTTTGGCAAAAATCTTAGAACTCTTTGATAAAAAGATTTAAAAGTTTGGCATTTGGTTTTGTTGCCGATCGTTGTTGGAGTAAAATTATGTTTTCATCCGAAAAAATCCCATTCTGTTCAACCTTGCGCTGTTAAATATTTGAATCAATCTACTTTTTAAAGTGTTTCTTCTGTCATTTAAAGAAACGATTTATGATACGCGATAAAGTCAAGAACCCTTGGGCAAAATATTCGTTTCAAATTTGCAGGAATTTGAATATGTCGAAGTTGAAACTTGAAGCCTTAAGAAATATACTGAAATTGAAAACCCGATCTCCCCTCACAATGCAAAGATTAATAAGAAACAATCTGTTTAGAGCGGCTACCTTGGTTTTAATCGCAAATAGACAAGACTTGAGCAATAATTTTTGCTTCGCTCTCATATTATTCAACGCCTGATCAATATTTCGAGAGCGGTGAAATCAATTCAAATATTTGCCTCCAAAGACCTCCGAAGAGCAAACAAAAGAGAACAATGGGTTTACTGTTTATTAAACAATAGGTTGATTGTCTATTGTTCTATTGTTCTTTAGCAGACACTGTTTATATCGGCGAAATGGAGGATATTGCAATTTGTATTTGCTAAAATTTTGTCTGTTGTTAATGTCTCTTAGTAAAGGTTACTGTTTCGATACTTACTGCTCTGTAAAATCGAAGTTTAATGAACATATTGTTCGCTAGGCCATACAGTAACTGTTTAAGCCAGCCTGATTTACTCACCAATTTATGGACTCTTTTAGTACAATTTTCTCCAATCTAGCTGCGAAATCCTGCGATCTTGTTGCAGTATGAGCTCACAGGACCTTGCTACATCGAGCTCAAAATCATGGTTAATAATAAATGTGGTCTTTTGGCTAGACGATGACTAACAGAATCAGAAACAGTTAACAATCATCTTATTTTGCATAAGACCAATAGAATTGTGGGTCAAATTCTTCACGTGCTCTTTGAAAACCAAACAAGTTTGATCACACAAAGTTCGCGACTGTTTTTGCGATCTACAGGTTTTAGGAAGATTAAAACGGATGATGTGGTCGATAGAAAAAATGATCAGAGAATTTAGCTAAATGTTCATAGTTTGGCGAACAAACAGCCCAATTTTGACCACAGAATATGAAAAACTTTTATTCTTGTTCTGTGCTATGACGTTGAATTTGACCACAAAAACTGTGGCGAATTTGAAGCGCCCAAGCTGGGTCAGTTGCGTGACTGCAAAACGTGCAGCAAAATGCAGAGATACACTCTTTTTTATCAGAACATTTTTATAAGAACGCGAGCCTCAAAACTGGTCAAAAGTTAATAACAAATTGAGGCTGAGCTTCTGCGAAATGCAATTTTGAACAAAGTTTTTTCTCAAAATCGAGGATTTTAGCGATGTGTGGGTGCTTTTTCGGTGAATATTCAAATTTGTCAGCAAATTAAGGCTGTCTCACTCAGCATTGGGCTCAAATCTTGATTGGCTGAGAGCTTGTGCTAAATCACGTGACCCCTCTCGCTGCTGAGCCAATCACAGCCCCGGAAAGTGTAAACAAACTTAGGCCAAAGCCGAAAATTGGGCATTTTTTCCACCGTCCATTAAAAAAATGACCTGTAAAATCTGCTACAATAAATTTCAAATTGTTTTAACTACAGCCCTACACAGATAAATTTCCCACAAATCTACCGTGGAACATGACCTCGATTTTGCGTTGTTAAGAAAATACAGCGTTGTAATCTGTAAACCTAGCCACGGGAAACCTTCACATCCAAGGGGTTTAAAATTAACAAAATACATGTCAATAGTAGCTGTTACCCCATAAAACCAAAATTTTGCATATTTCAGTCGTTTTAAATCTGAATATCACATTAAACTCAGCTTATTTTTAAAAAACTCTGACGAACAACGCATACAGTCTTTACTAGAGCTTAGATAAACGCAAAAATGAGAGAATTTCCTTTTTCAAGACAAAAACTCTCAAATAGCTTTCAACTGTTCATGTAGAAATGCTCCACGTAGCCGGAAAAGATTTTAACTGATACATAATGACTTATTTTGCGACTGTACCATGTCCTGAGCATCTCTGCTGAATCACAGGTAACTAAGTATTGTGGGGCGTGAACGGATCAGTTCTAAACATGTGCTGGGCGCCCAAACGGAATTTTAATATATGTACATTGAGGGAACAAAAGCTACTCAAAACCAAATTAGAACTATGTACTTACTGTGTTTCTGTGAGCGTTGGAATCCTGCTTTGCCAATTTTTTGAATCATGATTTATATACCACGTTTGAAGGTAAATTTTTGGGTTATGCTTGTCCCTGTGATATAAGAATTCAGATTTCGAACACTTCTTCACGCCCATCTCTTCCAGTCCGTTGCAATTTTAAATTTAGGGGATAGAAATGCTGAAGACTTTGGAAGCAGAACTACCCGCATGTTTCTCAATTTCAAAAGTTAGCCTAATGATAAAGTGTTGTAACAAAGTGAATAAGCAAAAAATTAAATTCAACTTTTAAAAGTATTGTAAGGGTTTCGAAATTTCGTGACTTTTCAGTGAAAGGTCTACCTATTGATCCCTCGACAAGTAACTTAAGATAGTTTTAGAATAAAGAGGTGCAAATTGTTTGCCATTTAAATTGTTTTGCTTGAATCGTTAAACTGTAAAACTGTTAGAATAAAAAGTCATTTTTTGAACAGGGCTGATTTCTAAGTCTACCACTGCGGAAATATTTAAACATTGTAAAGATTTAAGAATACAGCATTCTATGCCCATTTTACGTGTCTTTAAAATACTTAAAACCATTAAGACATCAAAATTATTCCTTTATCAGCTTTTAGCTCACGTCCTCTATGGCCCGCTGTCTTCGAAACTTGTTTCCAAGCAGAGCATGCCTCATTTAACTGACCAATCATTATCAAGCAAGCTTACTTAGCAACAGAAATGCCACAATTGCTCGAAAAGTTAAAGTTGACAACATCAACGATAGGAGGACCGAGATATGATATGAGGTAAAACTACAATCCTTGCCAAAAGTCTTGGTACAACAAGCTAAAATTTCGCATAACTTCAGTAGCATCCCCCTCTCCCCCTTGAAACAATGTTGAATAACAACAGTTTTAAAGCTTGAAATTCGTCCAATGTCAGTTTATCAGCTAGGGTAAGTAATAGGCTTTTCAGCCAACATTGTTTTTGGGGGGAGGGGGGGATATTTCTGTATCTTACAGCCGGAAACCTTTACTTCTTCAAAATCTTTCATGAGTCGCAGGGTGTTCCAAGGACTTTTGTCAAGGATTGTAGATGTAGGCAACATGAGAATAGACAAAATAATTTCAACTAACAGGACCCATGTTCCAATAAATTCTTTGGCCAACATGTCACATGCTTTGAAGTAGGTAAAAATAAAGAAGTCGTAAAAATCTACGCGAAGGTATCACGGAAAGACTGTGAAGCGTGCAAAGTTGTGACAGAGGGACAGCAAAATTTTAACTTCTGCAAGACTCTCTTTGTCTCTTTGTTTCATTTTAATTTATGCTCATGCTGATTAACTTTCACCTCTAACAGTTTGTTTCTTTGTTTATTGCATTGTTTGTAAATATTCTTGTAACTATATATGCCGTGCACACGTTTTTTGGGCGTTGTATCACATAAAAGAGTCTCGTTGTCTCTCTCTTCTGTGGTTGTATTCCGGTATATCATTGAACGTGAAGTCACGAAGAGTTTGAAGTAAAGGACGCAGAGGGCATTTTTCTAAAGCGGAAGACTTGTAAGTTGCAGCAAGTATACAGTTAGTTGGTCAGGCAAATAGAGTTACGGAAGCAAATAGATTATAAGTAATTTATTATTCTTAATTATATTAGCTTTCGTTTTTCATAAGATATTCGTTTTGTTCAGTTTATTCTACTACTTTAATTTGTTCGTGTATTTCTTACTAGGCCTAACCTACATTTTATTTCATATTGACTATCTGTTTTTTCTTTTATAAACTGTAAATTTTTATTTAATTTTTTTTGCAGCAAACCATGTTCTGAGTTTAATCAAACCGAGTTAATTTTCGTGCTTTCTGATAAAACTAAGGGGTTTGAACTTAAAGGCAATCTGTCTCGTTGTGGATTGGTTAACGAGAACAATAGCTGGAACAATAGCCTAAACACGATTCCAGCGCTCCGCCATATTTTTTACAATGCGATAAATTAAAGAGGGACTGGAAACAATAAAAATCCCTTTGTTCTTATAACCAATCAACGTCGTGACAGATTGCCTTTAAGCCACGTTTGGTGCCATAGAAGCTGCCCTAAATGAGTGACAAAGACAATTCTACCGAAAAGGAGCTGATTAAAGATTTGACCCCCTTGTTTTAAGTTGTCAATTTAAGATTTTATATAATCTGCTATCAGACTGCATCGAAATACTTCTTAACTATAATAGAATTATGTTATTTCAAAGTTAAATAAGGGTAGATACAGTAAAGGTTGCAGTGCACGTTGATCCAAAATTGACCGTTATCCCGTTTTGGGAGAATGCCCATATTTGGTAAACGCAGCAGGTATTTGCCGTTTACCAAACTCATTACCTTTATCATTACCATTTCTCATTACCAGAGGGTAAGTGTAGCTAAATATCACGGTGGCAAAAAGTTCAGTGGGGTGTTACCCTTGTCGTATTATACGCCTGGTCTATTTAAATTGAAACCCTCTTGTGCGTTGGATGTGCGTTGAAACCCCTCGTGGGGCATTTAAGATCTTACGCCCAAAGCATCGATAACCTACCCGCAGGTGTCGTGGAGGGGACATCGCGTGACATCGATATGCTTCATCAACATTCTCCTCCACAGAGGCTAATGGGGAGGGAGATGGGGAGAAAAAAAAGATAAAGAACTGCGGAAGAAGAAGACAAGTTAAAGAGCTGCGAGGGAGAAAGAAAAGGATTATGGCGGCAGACCTTTCCCTTTCTCTTCCCTCCGCTCTCCCCCTCATATTCTCCGCAGCTCCACCATTTCTCAACCCGTATCTCCCGATACAATGGCCTCGGTGGTGTAGAGTACCTCATCAACTTGCCACAGTCCATCGACTTACCTCAAGAAAGCTTTGAGAAATATGAGAATACCATTGCATTTAAAACTTTCATTGTGTTATTCAAAATCACAATGTCTACATACGTAATATATTAAGAATCTTTAATTACTGTATCATTCTTATAAAAGTCATCAAACTAAAGACGCGTTATAATGTGGCCTACGACGATGCAATCTTGCTTTTGATCCAGTCTGTATAGCTGCTCACTTTTGCGTACACTCCATAAAGATTTTTCCTTGCGCAGCCACGCCCCCAGCTGACCACGCCCACTAGATTGAATCTTCCCCCTTTGCTACATACAAAAGGGCCTCCACTGTCTCCCTATAACGTCGATGAAAGGAATAAAATAAGTTTTTGCGCCACAAATTTGAAGATGACACGAAATAGCGTTTGATTGGTTCAATCAATCAATCAATATTTATTTACACGAGACACCTTTCAGCAAAAAAAGAACTATTTACAAAAAAAGAACTATTGAAAAAGGAACTATTAAAAAAAGAACTTTCTGTCTTTCAAATTAAAAGTGTTTCTCTTCTTTTCACGTTGTGCTCAATCCACACATTGATATAAATTTTCTGCTTTCTTTCGCCTATTATCCGACTTTTATACTCAGAAGAGTGTCGGACATAAGGTGCTGTTTGTGCTTACCCTATTTCGTGCCATCTTCAAACGAAAGGAATTGTTAGTAATCAGATGGAATCAATATAAAAGTCGGTAAAAGTTTGAGCTCAAGGCAATCAGTTAAATCACATGTTATGACTTGTTAACACTTACGATTGTTGATATATGCAATCAAATTGAATCAATAAGACAATATATCTAGTACAATTCGACCTGGAGGCAATCATATGCCATCACATGTAATCAAATATAATCAGTACGATTACAATCGATCGTTATCGACCAATAGAAATGTGGTTGAAATTCTTCACGTGCTCTTTCAAAAGCCAATCAAGTTTGATCACCAAAGTTTGCTGTAAATTCTTTTGCGATCAACAAACCGAAGGAAGATTTAAACGAATTACATTGGTGATAGAAAGAAGGAATAGGGAATTTAGCTGCATAAAAGATTTGCGCACAAACAATACAACTAGGACGTTGGACGTAACCACACAATTGCGGCGACATCCACAGCTAGGGGAGGGTGCGCAGATGAACCTCCCGGTATATGAAAAGTTTGAGTGACTTCCCTGGTCATCCACACAAAACCAAACCAAAGAGAGTTCTACGTAGGGCCGTTGCTAACCAGTGGCGGACAACTGGAGGGGGGAGGGGGCGAGGAGGGCGAAAAGACTTCCAAAATAACATTGCCCCCAATACTTTTGAGGACAGTGGTCTTTTGTTCTAAAACAATAGGAAAATGTGTCGCATTCTTATTAAAATAATTAACTTAGGCTTGCCCCCCTAATTTTATGCTCGCCCCCCAAATATTTAGGCTTGCCCCCTAATATATGACCCCCTGTTGGTAACACAGTAACAATGCAATCTGTACCCTCACCTGACAGGCGTCAATCCCACCGTCCTTGTAACCAGCGCAAATCATGTTGTCAGTGTAGGAACCAACGATTCCCAGTGTGTCTTTGCAGGTTTTCTTGTCTTTGATTGGAATCTATTATAGACGAGAGCTGTGTTGAATATTGACTATATTACTAACACCACTACAAGGCACGAACTGTAGAAGTTTTATATCTGCAACTAGTATACGGGGTTCGGCGTAATATGACCAGACGTGCAAAATGAAAAACGAGGTTTATAGTTATCACAATGGTTGAAAAGCAGTAGATCCTTATTTAGGCCTCAACTACTCTGTAAACGAAATAATTTTAACCAGTTGTTGTTCTTTCAAAGAGAAATTTTAGGCCTGTTATCGAGTAGAAATCTTAGGCCTGTGTTCTCAAAGGGAAACCTCAGCTGAAGACCAGTAGATCCACAAAAAATGATCATATTTTGTTGTCTAGTTAGTCAGAAATTTGCAATCAAATAATCCCTCTGTTTCAGGAGGAAAAGTGGGCGGACATGGACAATCCGGAGAAGTATCATGTTTTGCTATATTTAGGAGAGCGTTTCCTGACCCTAGGCGACCTGTCAATGGGTTCTAGATTATTCCAAGAGGGCTTCTAAAATAAGGCATGTCTAAAATTACGTTATAGGACAGTCAAAAAACACTGACTTATGCAGTCAAGGAATTCATCGACGTGTATGATTCGAGGTTTAGCGGATTATCCGAACAGGATTCTCCTTTTCGCTCTATCTCATCGTTGTATGCTGTTCTTTTCGGATGGGGTAACCTGTGTTCTGGACCCCTGACTCTCTGAGGCTCAAGCTACGAGGAGGCTCCTCAATACGGGGAACCATGTGGGCAATATTTTGCCGATCCAAAATATTAAATTCACGTTTTATGGAACCCAAAATATCAATATCGAGTGTTTAGTTTGCGAAGTCGCAAACATATTTTGTTGCTTTCTTTAATTTTTGCGGTTCCTAAAGATGTTTAAAAACTCAAACCACAAATTTTGCTATAAACCCCTGTATAATAAGGCAGTGACTATCCTTCTAGGGGGTCAGTATCTTTAATAGAAAGACAGGCAAATGTTCTAAATAGAGTACAGAAATGATGACGTCATAAATATCTATTTTCAGAATTTTTTAATTTTGATCCAAGAACCTGAAATGGCATCGAGAAAAACCTCTAAATTCACAAATTCAGTATAAGGTATTACGAATTGGCTGAGATATGACCAGATGAGCACAGGCTCTTGCTCCATCAAACCTCTGTAATTTGGTCACCATTCATAACTTTATGAACCAGGCCACAATAACAGTAATCCGTTAGCAAACCTTCCGTTGGCCATATCTCGCCCAATTTTGAGCATAACTAACTGATTTTGCATATTGCGAGGTATTTTATGCTGTTCTTTTAGATAATGTGGTCAAATTTAAGAAATTCTAAAAAAGATTTTTTATGACGTCACACTTCGGTACTCTATTGGAATGTGTGGAAGACAGTGTAAAGGTTTCAAGCAGGATACATAAAGACTTACTACCAGGGGCGCTGGAAGCATTTTGAGGCGGCGGGGGCAGCTACTCAAAAAGGGCACATTTTTAATGACTACTATTAGAATTATAACAAAAAATGATATAACTTTGGTACTGATAAAATGTTTTATCTAAAAGGCCAGTCTAAAACACTCCATTCTGTTGTTTAGGCTTTTACTGGGTTAGGGGGGGGGGCACCTTAACATGTTTGAAGGTAGGGAGACGTGCAATGCTTTAAGGGTACCTTTTTCTGAAAACAGCAGAATTATCGGTATCAGTTCTTGTAATATGTGCAGAACAATGGGTACCATTTTCGAAAAATATGGCAAAATTATTAGGAGGGAGATTGAGCATTAAAAAATGAATGTCCAGTTAGAAATGAAAGTATGGAGTATGTGCAATATTGAGGTTTTTAGCTGAGGACATGCAAAGTTTGTTTGATGATTTTGTTGTGCTTTAAAAATGTTATTTGCTTTGCGGAATTATGGGCATAGTTTGAATCATGTTTGCGGAATTATGGGTCACATTTTTCAGACATGTACGGAATTATGGGTCCGAACTTTTTAATCAAAATAACATGTCCCCGTTCAAAATTAGGCTTAGTTAACCCAACACCTCCCCACCCCGTGGGCTGTTGGCTGTCGTGTCGTCTCATGCTGCATTGTGCTAAAAGTACATTCTGCAGTTGCGAATAAAATTGCAAATGAATTGTACAATGGCAATGACTTGTGAGCTCTGGCAAGCATTCTTTATAGGATTAAATTGAAGTCATGATTGATCAAGGTTTTCCATCTTTGTTACCTTCTTTATTGGCATGGCAACTTTTTTCTTATAAATTCTGATGACTTTGCTAAAAGTTCACCTCATTTTTAAAAGCTTTTAGATTACTTCAATTGAGGCTTTTACTAGTTAACTTGGATTAGTGTTGCGTATTGCATTAGTGTTTGACATGCTCTACTAGAGTCCGTTAAAAGGGGCCCCATCTCAATTTTCCCTTAGGACCCAAGCCGGCCCGCTGCCCCCCGGATGCTGCTCCCCACTGCCCCCGCTGCCCCCGTGCTTCCGGTGACCTTGCTTACTACACTGTGTAATTGTTTCAAGCACAGTTTGTGATTTCTGTTGATCGCTAATTCAAGTTTGCTTCATTACGACAGTGGCAGAAATTTTAGGGGGAGGGGGGTATAGAACCATTGGTTTGCGAAACACCACCTGCTACTTATCTGAATGGTACAGGACAGAGGACAGAGGACAGAGGACACAGGACAGAGGACACAGGACAGAGGACACAGGACACCGAACACTTAACACACGACACAGGGCACAGGACAAAATTGAATTCAATATGGACGAATAAGCTGAGCTCTAAACAAGGGTTGTATATAAGAAGTACGTTGAAAAGAGCAGGGAGATAAAAATAAATAAACGTAACATATTACCCTGGCCTCCTGCAATACTTTAGCAGTTTTTCCACCTTCTGTGGTTCGTCCCCACCCAGTGACATAACAGCTTTCATCGGCCTTTTCGTCTTCGCCTTGCTCTGGCAAGCAAACTGGTTTTATAAGCTGGTTGTATTCGACTGGCTTCTCCAATTTCACCAACGCGATATCGTTGTCATAGGAACCGGCTTTGTAGTTTTCATGTCTTATGATCTTAGTGACGCCCATGACAACTTCCCTACCTACAAAGAAAATTATTGCCATCGTTACAAGGAGGGTTGGAACAGAGCGAGATTATGAAAACCGGAAAGATAGAATTTTTAGGCATCCCAGGACAGAAGGCTTAGAATAATTGATGGTAACTCTAACGTGAGTGCACAATAGTTTGGCGGGAAAGAGGAATCTGCCTTTTTTGACGGGAAGGACACTGGATAAAAGTTTTATGGGATACAGGAAAGCTAAGGCAGTTGCTGATTTAAGGGGGAGGGGTAATTAGGGGCAGTTGCCACTCCCTCGCCGAGTTAAAGCAAGTCTGGCGCCCCTTTTTGGATATTGTGCTTCCCTTTCGAAGGATGTGAATTTAAAAGTGGCTTTGAAAAAAGCAAACATTTTACAACATACTTAAAGCTTTTTCGTCTGACACTCCTCAGAGCATAAAACGTCAGAATAGGTTCCGAAAAACATGTTTGAAAAAATATATACCCAGTTGTGGATCGAAATAGGCCAATCAGAAAAACGCAAGCACAAGACCGGTATAGTTGACCAATCAGTGCCGCGAGCCTAAAGAAAAATTACCAATGGAGTCCAAGAGAGAAAACAAACTCCTTTTGTCTACACAATGGCGGCTTTTTCGTTTTTATGTAGATTGACTCCAAAACTGCTAGATGGAAGGACGACCGGGCTCTGCCAATTATCCGAAACATGTCGTCATTATAGAGTTTTGCACAATCTGGGTTGTCTAAAAGATGTTGACCAATGGCAGAATCACTTGTTTTTACAGTGTTTCTAGACCTACAAGATCGAGGAGGCTGTTCTCTTTGAGGGGCAGTTTTGTTTCGTATGTTGGAAGGAACATGCTGTTTTATCCTATCCCCCAATCTTTGGGTTGTGCGCCCTACGTAGCCAGAATCACACTGGCACGTAAATTCATAAATGACGGAACTTTTTTGTTTGGTAGGGACGCAATCCTTTTGAATGGATGGAAGGGCTCTCCTAGTGCTGTAAACAATCCGAGGATTGACAGCAAAGAAACAATTGGTTATGGCTTGCCTAATCTGACTCTCGAATCGCAAGGAAGTGTTACCAATCCATGGTAGTTTCAAATAAACTGGGCACTTTTGCGGACCAAACTTTTGAACAGCCGAAAAACTTGCGATCTTCTCCTTAGTATAAGATAAAATGACGTCTTCAGGATAGCCGTTGTCCAAGAAGATCGTTTTGAGTTTTTCCAGTTCAGCGTGCAGTTTAGATTTCGAGCAGATCATAAGTGCCCTATGTACTAATGTTTTGACAAGGTTGACTTTGCGTTGTTTTGGGCAAAATGAATTCCAGCGTATGTACTGACCGGTAAAAGTAGGCTTGCGATATACACTGGTAAGAAATCCAGTGTTAGACTTTTCGACCAAAACATCTAAAATGGTAAGGAATCATTTTCTTCCTTTTCAAACGTAAACTGGAGGGCTGGGTGTAGGCTATTTAGGTGTTTTAGAAAAATATCACACTCAGCCTCTGTTTTGAAAATGGTATATGTGTATCCACATACCGAAAATAGACACCTGGCTTTTGGTCGTAGTCGAACAAACGCTCTTCATGAAAGCCAACAAAGATATTGGCCAAGGCAGGTCCCAGAGGGCTACCCATAGCGACACCATCCTTTTGTTGGTACATTTCATTGTTAAAACCGAATTCAACTGAACGTGTTGCAGTTTCCATCAGTTCAATGAATACTTCCTCTGGGAATGGTGGGCTATTAAGCTCGCTCCGGTACAAAGCGTCGGCACATATTTTGATGGTCTCACTCAAAGGAACATTTGTGAAAAGACTACTAATGTCAAAAGAACACATGAAAGATGTTTCGTTTTCGATGTTCAAGTTTTGCATGAACTCAGCGAACGTAAAAGAATCCTTGATGCAATGTTTTGAATATTTTTGAAGAACAGGGTCCAAAACTTCAGAAAGCCACTTAGCCAGTTCGTGTTGTGCTGAGCCAATCATAGACAAGATAGGTCTAAGTGGGACGTTCGGCTTGTGTATTTTAGGGAGGCCATACATTTGTGGTCGTTGAGAGCCCGTGGGTCTTATCCTATCATAAATTTCTGTAGCCAACATTTTTGAGTTGACCAGTTCCAACAAACGTTTTTGGAGTTTCCGCTCTAGTTTGGCCGTTTTGTCATGTGTTTCGACATCACCCAATTTAGCAAATTTTTCTTTGTCGTGGAGAATTACCTCCATTTTATTGATGTAGTCCTTTTTGTTTAAAATGACCACTCCAGACCCTTTATCAGGTTTTGTAATAAAGATGTCATTGTTAGCCCGTAGAGATTTTAGTGCTTGGAAATGTTCTCTATGCAATAGAAAATCTGAGTGGTCGATGGGAGAGCCGCTGTAAGCGTACGCCAAATCGCTTAGTCGTGCTCGTAATTTGTTAAACTCCAAAGGGTTAGAAATCTCGTGCTTAGCAAGTTGAGCGTGTAAAATTTCGAATTCAGCAAAGAGTTCCTCTCTGTTGATAGTTAGGGGTGGGATACAAAATTCAAGTCCATTACCTAAGACAAATGTTTCAGTATCAGAGAGAGAATAATCCGAGAAATTAAAAATATGTTTTTTTTTTTTTTTTTTTTTTTTTTTTTTTTTGGGTATATATTTTTCAAACATGTTTTTCGGAACCTATTCTGACGTTTTATGCTCTGAGGAGTGTCAGACGAAAAAGCTTTAAGTATGTTGTAAAATGTTTGCTTTTTTCAAAGCCATTTTCAAATTCTGTACCGCAAAAAAAAGATGTGAATTTAGTGAAAAAATAGGTTCAAGGATTACCTCAAAGTATAAAAACAGCAATTGAAAAAACTTCCTTAAAAAGTGAATAGGGGGCCTTCTGTCAGTTGTTAGGGCCTAAAAATGTTGTATAGAGCGTACACTCGTCACCAATTTCTAAAACATTTCAGCGCCCCCACTACAGATTTTCCCGGTCCCTTGAACTTGCTTACCCTTTTCAAGCATTCGGATAAGTAGGACGCCCGCTATGTAGTACAGATCATCCCGGTCCCTTGAACTTGCTTACCCTTTTCAAGCATCCGGATAAGTAGGACGCCCGCTATGTAGTACAGATTATCCCGGTCCCTTGAACTTGCTTACCCTTTTCAAGCATTCGGATAAGTAGGACACCCGCTAAGTAGTACAGATTTTCCCGGTCCTTTGAACTTGCTTACCCTTTTCAAGCATTCGAGTAAGTAGGACGCCCGCCATGAAGTACAGATTTTCCCGGTCCCTTGAACTTGCTTACCCTTTTCAAGCATTCGGATAAGTAGGACACCCGCTAAGTAGTACAGATTTTCCCGGTCCCTTGAACTTGCTTACCCTTTTCAAGCATTCGAGTAAGTAGGACGCCCGCTAAGTAGTACACTTTTCTCAGTCCCTTGAGTAGAGTATACTGTATAATATTTCATAAGGAAAGCAAGAGAACGCTCTCGACATATAACGAAATACCGACTCACTTTTTTATGGACCGGATAATCAAAGTCCGGATAAACGGTAGGTCAGATAATTGAATAAGTGCTGTACATATACCTGATGACAAATCAAGGTCATGTTCCGCCAGCCTCACTTGGTATTCATCAGGTTGTTTTGTCATCTTCCCGGGCCTTCCAAAGCAATGGGCAGCGGTTACAACCCACTGTTTGTTAATCAAACTTCCACCACAGAAAACTCGTCCAGGCGCCCTTTTGAAAACGAGACCAACTTGCCAGGGCCAATCGCCGACAGCGGCATCCTGACCTCCTACCACACGAGCCTTCAGCCTCAAGCCACAATAAGGGCCGTTGATAAGCTTATCAGTTTTAAGAGAACTAATTGCCCCAGATTTAGTGCCTGGAAAGATATGAATAAACATAGGCAAGGCGAGATTGCGATTGAGCTTGTGCTACTAAGCTGGCCTTACTAAGTGAAACTACTGATGTCGTTATGTAACGACACAGGGTTCCCTTACGGACAGTATCACGTGACAATTGCACCATTGCGCTGTGATTGCATCAGCGTCTGTAAATATGTTTTTTTGTATTACGTAATTATTATTATAAGGTTTGCTTAGGTTATATAAAGGGTTGTTTCATAAGTTAGGAGTAGTCTTGTCGAAAGTTTTGTCGTACTGCTTGGTTTTAAAAAAACCAAGTCATGTCTATAAAAAGTTTGTACGTTTAAATATATAGCAAATAAATATAAATGATAAATAATGAATAAATAAATAATTTATTTACAGTTGGCAACGAGATCTAACACCAAGCGTATTTAACCCACTGTTTACAATGAGTACGAAAGTAATAATTTATCAAAAGCCTTTTGTACACATAGATCAGCTGCAATCGAAAATGCTTAAGATTCTGTTTCTTTTAAAAATATGTATTGATTGGGACTCTTTCAGGGCCTACGCCACCGGGGGGGGGCGGAGGGGCCCTTCCCCTTTTTTTGCGAAGCAAGTGGTTTTAGCAGCAGTAAAAGGGGATAAGCCTTGGCCCCCTACTTTTGCTAGCACTGGCCCCACTTTCAAATTCGTGGCTTAGGCCCTGTCTTTCATTTCAGTAGGCAGCTTTGCCTTATTCTTGGCCAATAAATCTAATGGCCTTGGGCCATATGCTGTTGTTCTTGCACTGGGGGAAAAATGTAGCAGTTGGCAGGAAATTCATATTTTAAATCGGATTCAAGCTGTTGATAGTTATATGTATAATGCCCTCATGAAATGTCTATTTAAGTAAATTTTATAAAAATGTTGGGTTCTCAAAATATTTTTGCTAGAAAGGTATAGCCTTTTTGGGTATCTGCTGTAGAAATTGGACGCGTTTCCAAAGGCCAACAACAACAACAGGTAAATGCAAATGATAGTCTTGCAATTCACTTAAATTCAATGCAATTCAATAACTATTAAGTTCTCTTACGAAAAACAATCCAACTTAGTTAAAATAATACATTGTGTAATGCAACACACCTCGCGGCCGGTTTCCACTTAAGTCGCCCAGTTCGCGCGAATTTAATGAATCAGCGAATCCGAAAATGCGGCCAGTTGCTCCAGTTGTACGTTTCGGCCGCGCATTCGCAGCGAAAAATGTTGTTAAAGTATAAGCATTGACAAAAATGAATTCTCTCAATCGTGCGACAAGAGGGAATCAAGTAGAAATCAGACTTCGGTTTGGGTGTATTTGAATTCATGCAGCAGTGTTATTTGCGCAAATCGTAGGCGCACGAATTCAATAATTGCGCGCAAAATGTACCGCACGCAGTATGAACGGCGCGCAAAATGTTAAACGTATCTTGCAGGTGCCGTTACCCTTAACATGCATGCAAATGAAAGTGATGCGCGAATTCAAATACACCTAGAACTTGTTGATAATATACCTTTGCACTTCCCACAACTCTTTTGACAGTTAACATGCATCCATTTTGGATTTTTGCTGCATTCACCGGATTTTGCCCATATTGCGCATTCTTTTGTGTCGTAAAGATCCTTGCAAGTCGATGTAATCGTTTCTAAAAAAACTTCTACCTTTAGAAATAAGCCACCTCAAATGAAGTCTGTGTAACAAATACTTCTAAAGACATCTCATGCTTTGAAAGATTTTCAAAAGTTTTATATGATAACTTGAAAACATTTTTTCAAATTCAAATTTATCCCAGTTCAACAGCATAATTCACAAGTAGGTCACTAGTATCATTTTAAGAAAAAGAAGATTACAAGATGTTATTTAGGTACAGTACAGTATGCATAGAAAGCAGTATGTTCTAGGACACAGAGAAAAGCCATAATCGTTATCGAGCCCAGTGTTCTACAGGCACCGCGGAGCGTCGAGAAAAGTTGGGGGGTCTAAAAAAGTGAGGGGGGACTGAAACCGTATAAAAAGAGGCTTTTCTGGTAGTTTCATACTAAATATTTGGCATTTTTTGCAAAAAGTGAAGGGGCTAAAGCCCCCCAGCCCCCCCTGCTCCGCGGTGCCTGTCCTAGGATGGACGTCCACTGATCTATAAATAAAGATTGGATCGAGCTTCTATTGTGACAAGAGTGTCGCCACCCGGAACGAGAGCTCCAGAACAGCCAATTATAGGATGAGGCATTCACTTTCACTCCTAGCTATGTTTTCAGCTGCTCTGGCCTTGTTTCTGTCCAGCACTCATACACACAGCAATGCAGCTCTCGCGTATTCACATCAGAAAGGTATTGGTTTTGAGAATGGCTTCCCGCCATTGTTTGGGGCCCTCTTCCTTTTGAAATTGAGCAGGCTACAAACATTGGTGTTTCAAGACAATAGGAAGCTCGATCCAGTCTTTTTATAGATCCGTGTGCAAGTCAAGGCGTTTAACTTTTGTCACCTGACAGCGCATATATGGCCGGTGCAGATATAAATGGTGATTGGCGCACTTAGCTAATTGGTGCTTGTAAGTGTGTATGAGCTGCGTGTGTTGTGCGTGTGTTGTGCGTGTGAAGTGCGGGTGCGTTTTGAGGACAACAGATGCATATTTGAGTCTCATTGCTTGAGAATGTGAGTCATAATTACTTTGTAAAGTGTAATTAAACAACTACGGGCCAGTGTATTTGGTGTACTCGACAACAAAGAATACCCTTTAATACTCTTTTTTTAAAGAACCTGAGTCTCCAAATTGGACAAGAGTTCAGAACCAACTAAGAGCAAGCTGAGACTGAAATACTGTAAATTTTAATTTTGAGCAACGTTTCATCTCAAAACAAAAAAGAGGATTTTTAGCAATGTTAGGGTGGTTTTTTTGGTGAATTTTTAAATGGAGGTTGTCTCACTCACTTGGTTGGCGAAAGAGGCCTGAACCCCTTTCTGTATTTTGATAATTAATTTGAAGAGAATCTTTGCTGAAGAAATCCAAAATAAAAATTGACTTGTTTGTAATGGGGTACCCTTTGAAAACAAACGTCGTACATAAGAGTTGCTTAAGCCAAGGTGGGCTAAAAATAGATAATCAATGAGAATCCATTCTCGAAATTGGCACGTGATTGCTTTTGCATCTTTTGTGTTGCTCTCTCAAGTTGACAATTATTCGTCAGACAATAGGTTATAATTGGATGTGTGTTTTCATGGCTTCATAAACTTCGTGGCTTTAAGGCGACAAAACATTGTTCCGCAACTGACGTTCTCGTGTGACCATATCTTCCACAATGTTTCAACGATCGAGCTATTTCTAAACAACTTGTTTATACATCCTCCGAATGTTAGAAAACCTACTTAAAAGCAATCTATAGAAAACATTGAAACTATAGAGGCCTAAGCCATCTGCCAATCAACAATTGGCCAATCAGCGAGCATGATACTATTGAAACGCTTACTGATTGGTCTATTTTGATTGACAGATGTTATTCCTGTCAATCAACAATTGGCCAATCAGCGAGCGTGATACTATTCAAACGCTTACTGATTGGTCTATTTTGATTGGCAGATGTTATTCCTGTCAATCAATAATTAGCCAATCAGCGGGCGTGATACTATTGAAACGCTTACTGATTTGTTCATTTTGACTGACAGATGGCTTAAGCCCCTATTATAAGAGTTTAGATGTCAATCAATAATTGGCCAATCAGCGGGCGTGATACTATTTAAACGCTTACTGATTGGTCTATTTTGATAGACAGATGTTATTCCTGTCAATCAAAAATTGGCCAATCAGCTGGCGTGATACTATTGAAACGCTTACTGGTTTGCTTGTTTTGACTCAGCCCCTAATATAAGAGCTATTCTTATTTGCAAGACTTTAAGTCTCAACTATGCATCGTTGTTCAACAAAATTTCACCTCTCGTCTTGTCTTTCTCCGCCTTTTTACAAAAACCACAAGTCTTCATGCAGTTCTTCTGCATAAAACTAAAAAATGATTGCGATTTGGCGCAATATCCGGCCCTTTTCCAGTTAACACAATCTTTCTCAATGTCCTTGCAAGGCTTGACTTCCTCAGCTGTGAAAAGAATTCGGCAAACTAGATAGATACTTTGCTAATAAAAAAATCACGCAAAATAGATTATTTATTTTCATTTATTATTTATTTATTATTATAGACGTTATGATTTAGAAATGAAGGTGACGTTGATGTACTGTATTCAGGAATCGCGCACCATTCTAAAGTGGGAGGGGGAACTAAGAAGGGCGTAAATGAAATTTGTTGAAGCCTTTAGAACGCCAGAAAGCGGCCTTTTTAGAAAATACATGCCTCTTTCTACTTATTGAGGCCTCTGAGAGACCGGGAGGCGCCCATTGTAGAAAAACATTGCTTCTTTCCACTTATTGTTTATAAACAGTCCGATTCAGAGAAGATATCAATTACTAAAAAAATACATTTAACAAACTAAGACACTAAATAGTGAACAAAAAATGGCTTCCAGTCAGGAAGAGCTGCTATTTCTTAGGGTCCGTTAGAGTAAACTGTCCTAGATTTCCAAAAGTTTTCTAACCTATTGTTGCAAAAGATGTAACAAAGACGAAAGTCCGCTACTTCAGAGTAACTCATGACATGAAGACAACGACACGTGATATGAGTAAATAATTGACTGAATTGGAGGTTAGTGGTTAAAGTTTATATACAATCGTGATCAAGGCTTTAATTACACAATTACGCGAGGTTTTTCTTACAACAAAAAGTGAGGTGGGGAGGGGGGGGTGAGGGCTGCGCGGTGCCTGATTGTATTCGGCAATCATCATCATCAGGTACCATCTTCTTTCAGAAGGTTAGCTACCATGACCCTCTTACTATCCCAAAATCCGCGTTTTGGTTTGTTGTCATGGACATAGATAAAACTAAGGGGCTAATAGTAGAGATGAGCCCCCAGAACCATCTCTACAGTGTTTTCAAAGGGAAACCATACCTCTGTCCAGGAGTTCTTCCGCCCGAAGCCGTTGACCCCTGGAGTCGTAGCTCATTCGCCCTCCTTGCCGGTCTCCCGCCGTGTTAGCCGTTGGCCATCGCTCGTAGCCCTGAGCTAGGGAACCCTGCCAGGTGGTACCAGTCGGGTCATACTGCACCATTTGGCAATAGTGATGATTATGATTAGGGATGAAGATCTTGACTATGATGAGTATGATGACTTTTCTTATTGCTATTATTATTGATAGTTGTGATGAAGTTTGATAATAATCATGATCATGATTTATGATGTGTTACCATTGCAAAAACTGATCATTGCAAAAACTGATCATTGCAAAAACTGATCATTGCAAATACCTTTGGATGCACATATCTTGCAGGTATCTTGGCAGTTGTCTTTCATGAATGAGTACCACTGGCTCGATTTGGAACAAAACCCTTGCTTGGCCCAGTCTTCGCAGTCAGTATCTTTATCCTTGCACTTCTCTGGAACATATCAAAATTTTGATTATTATTAAACACCGTAACTCGAAAGAACCCTACCCAATACCATAAAAAAATGCAAGGCCAGTTGAGTTGGTTCAAAATTGATTGAGGTATGGTCGGTGAAAGACGTGCCAATTCATTGCTGTTGCATTGGCCAGGTTTCTAATTTTTGGTACCTTGACCAAATTACAGTTACACTCTGTTCTTTTGATAACAGCAATTTAATAAGAACACAAGCCTCAAACTTGGTCAAAAGCTAAGAACAAATTGAAAAAAAGCTGAGGCTGATCTACTGTAAAATGCAATTTTGAACTTTTATCTCCAAAACGAGAACCTTTAGACATGTATGGGAGAATTCTTACCAATTGCACCGCTCACACTCTATTAATTCAAGAACAAATTAAAAATAATCCAGCCTCAGATTTCTTGAAAAAATTAAGAACAGTCAGCCTGAACTTGACTTTACTGGTTCTTATGAAAAAAGAGTTTAAAGAAATAGCCTATGGTGATTTCGCAGTCGACTTGCGACAGATTCAACTTATTTTGAAAATTCAAAGATATTTCCTGGTGTTCTTTTAGGTTTTGGGACAGAATTCTGAAATTCTACGCAAAAGATTGTTTCGGGACAAAACTTTGACTGCTCAAAGTAAAGCTCGACCCCTTTCCTATTTGCAAGCATCAATGTTCTGCTTATATAGACGTAAGCAGGTTTCGCGATTTTTGGTTTAAAACAGGGGGTACTCACCCTCACATTTATCACAACTCTTTCGACAATTGCTCAGCATGTAACCAGGGTTTGAACTGCATTCACCTGATTTAGCCCAACCACTGCATCTTTGATCATTGTCAACACAAGCAGTATTTAGGCCTAGGAGATAAATAACAAGTTGAAATGAATATTCATATATCTATACCGGTTACTAACGACGGGCCTTCGGTCTATGAAAACATCAGACGTATCGATAAAATATAATCTCATTTGACAATGACGTAAATGGCAACATGGGTCTGATTCGGATGTTGCACGAATGTCGCGAATGCAGTCGTATCCGCTGTACAAGTTGTATTAGAAAATGACGCCTACAATGCCTGCCAAGAGTCTTGGAACACTGACGTCACTTTCCGAAGTCAAAATCAATCATCCCTCTCTCCTCTACAGAACAATGTTGGTTTACTATTAAACGGATTAGGATTTTAGGAAGCTTTCTCTTTTGCGCTTCTTTTATGATATTTGTCCAAATTGTCAACATTGTTCTAGGGAGAAGGGGGCGGAAGAAGTAATTTTGTTTCGGTAAAGGAATGAAAGATACAAAATTCAATGCAAGTAGCTGGGTGTTTCAAGTACTTTTGGCAGGCATCGGTATTAACAGCCCAATTCGACTTGTTCACAAACGTCTCCATAAAGTCGTATAAGCCGAAAAAAAAATGCGACACCCTCAAAAAATACAATCCAAAGTTTTAGGGTCATACTATCATAAGGTCATACCATCATAAGGTGATAAGGTCATACAATCATAAGGTCATACCATCATAAGGTGATAAGGTCATACAATCATAAGGTCATACCATCATAAGGTGATAAGGTCATACAATCA